AGGGAACAAAATCTGGTTTTCTTTCCTCTTCTTCATTCAGCTCATGGCACAGGAGAAGAGTTATGACCAGTATCCCAATGCAAGGAGACTCCTTGGCTTCATACTGGGAAACATCTGCAATTCCAATGTGTGAAATGAACAGGGATTTTCTCTATTTTATCTGAGTAGTTTGTAGTCTTCTGACCAGACTAACCAGGAGCAGAAGCAGCAGCAGAGTTCCTAGGATTTTCTGTGGTATATACATGTGGGTGTCAAAGCCTCAGGCAAATCCAATCATTTTACATACAGTTACAGATACTGGTGTGTGCTAGAGGAAGAGAAGGAGACATCCTTGAAATTAATGTTTAAAATGTCACTGTTGGGCTGAGGAATCAAAGCCTCTCCTTGAGATGGCACACAGAACAAGGCTGCTGCCAGTGACACACACCAATACCTAAGGTCTGTGTGTGCTCTTTGCAGGGCTGTGCTCTCACTGCAGCTCAAACAGCAGTTCTGCTAGTGGCCTACAACAAGCTCCTGCCTCAGTGAGGAAAGGAGAAGATAACCCCTGGAGTCTGAAGGAAGGGAGGGGAGCAGACTCAGCTGCTCTGGAACCTTTCTTCTTCAGAAGGTTCATATCTCACAATGTGGACATGCCACTGGGGTGAGAGAATAAAGGATTTACTGTTTCTCATTGATTAAACTTCCACTCCAAGCTAGATAAAGACTTCAAAACTTTAAGAAAGAGACTGCAGCACTGTGTTTTCTTCAGTCTTCATAGACTTTGGAGTCATATTGACAGCAATGCCCATTTGCTGTGTTTATTCCCTAGAGGTTGTTTGCACCAATTTTTTCTGGGTTCTTTTTTGTTATGTAATATCAGTGAAATATCTAAGAAAAAATTTCTGTTTTCTCACAGCAATCTACAGGTTACTTTTAAGGCTGATAACAAAGTAAGTGGAATTTCATGGTTTCTTGAAATCTGTGTATTTGGATTGCCAGTGTGAGTAAAAGGAGATAACTAACCAGGCAAAGATAGACACTTGAGTGCTGCTGGCAGACTGTTTTCATTAAAATAAAAAATGGAAGACCTTTAAACTCATATCAAGGCTCCTTTATGCTAATTCTCACTACTTGTCTGGTAGCAGCAGGTGAACTGAGTCTGAAGAACTTGGGCTGAAGGAGTGAAAATAGCACAAATGCAGCCAACCAGTAACATGCTGGCTCCAACCAAAGATATGAAATTTCAGCACCCATATTTAAAACACAACAAAAGTTCTGTTCTAATATCCTCTAATGTTTCCTACATTACATGTGGTTTTGGGTTTGCAAAAGTGATTTCTACCTCCTACACACTAATTTCTATTTATCTTTTAAGACAATATGGTGATGACACAGAAAATAACCAAGAAACCATGTTTCTTCCCCACCAGAGTAACAATATATTCATAACTGAAAATTAACTGGCACTCATCTCTTATTTTTCTCCATCTACAGACTACACACAATTTAAAATAAAAATAAATGGTCATTTATACTGAAAAAGTCCGAACCTATGGTAAGGAAAAAATTTATGCATCATGTCAATATGCTGATGCACACCTAGACAAAGGTGTGCACACAAACTAGACATTAAGAAAGAAAAAAAAAAAAAAAGAAAAGAAAAAAAAAAAAGAAAGAGAGAAAGGAAAGGCCAAATGCAAAGGATGAAAAAAACACCCCTGAAGGTTTCAACTAGAAATTTCCCAAAATAGTGCCAGATTGGCAGAGGTGTTAAGCCACATGACTGAGACAAATCATTCTTTCCTTGAGCCTGAATGCAAACTAATAGGGCAAAACTTTACTTGAAGGGAAGAAAGGGGAGCAAGACAGTGAATGTGGAAAGGAACTGGGAGAAAACCACTGTACAAGGCTGCATGGAAAATCAGAGCAGACAGAAAAGACTTTATAAAGAATCTAAATAAAACCCAAAACACAACAGTTGAGATAGTTTTCGGACAGAATGCTGTCAAAAGAGACCTAAACTTCAGAACTCTGCTGTTTTTTCCTAGTGTTCTGTGGAGAAAAAACTGCTTGGTCTGTCTTTATAAGCAAAAATAAATCTGACATCCATATATCTCAACCCCTCTTTCTGAAGAAAAAATTCTGAAAAAGGTTTCCGAAAGTAAAAGGTTCTATGCCTGAGAAGTTGCAACATCACTGTTAACAGCAGGACTAAAGGAAAGAAATCTTTAGCTTCTATTCCTTTTTAGCAAAGTTTAAAATAATTACTCACTACTGGTGAGAATTTTGCAAAAATGTGGCACCCAGTGATTCTGTGAAGTCCTACAGAATCGCTTGCAGGTACAAAGATAATCTTTGTTAGGCGATAACTAATTACAAAGTATTCAGGCAGCCTGAGAAGCTCTAGTGCAACAACTTCTGTTCAGTGCAGCAAAAATCCCCAAAGATACAATGAAGTAATAGAAAACATCACAGAAAGAAGCTGTAAAAAAGGACATATAAAGTTGCAAAGTAATTTCAAAAATATCATTACAATGAAAGCCCATGACCTGCACTAGCTTGCTGGAAAGTGTTAACAATTGTTTCCTATTCCATTTTACCTGCAAGACTCTAAAATGGAGAACAGGGAATTTTCTGGACTTACATCATGCAAAAATCTACTGATTTTGTAAAGAAAGCTCCCTGAGAAGGACACATGGTTCAGCTCAACATCATCATCTACAATAACAGTCAGGGAACAAAATAGGAAGAAGTAATTCTAATGAACAATGTTAGTAGTTTCCCTGTGATATTATTACTGAAATTCCCCAAGAGAAGAAAGAGTTATTTAGATCTGAATAAGCCTTCAACATCTGGTATTAAGTCAGGGATCCAGCTAAGGGCTGGGAAAAGGTAACCAAAGCACAATTCCATCAGCTGTGGCAGGCAAAGATTTGAATTATGTGTCAAATATCAGTAAAGGTATCTAAAATACAATTGAACAATGCAGAAATATGTGAAATATGATGAGACAAGGCCAAAGACACTCAGAGATTGTGAAATTGGTTACAGGTCTGCAACTCTCTTCGATGTTGGCACACCATCAGATAGAACAATGGCCAATGAGGAACCCTGCTGATCTAAGAGTACTAATACCATGAGAAACAGCCATGGAATCTCACCAAAATAGACTGGTTCGCATTTATGGTATAAGAGACATTGCATAAAGGTCATGGGCAAACTTGTCATGTGGCCATGTGAAAAATGACCTCTTGAATGGGATGAAAAAGACTGGCATTTTTGGCCAAGGATGCTATCTTCTGCTAGCTCTTTCTAAGTGTGTTCACAGAAATGGCATTTTCTTGTAAATCATTAGGATTATCTTCAGTTACTCAGCTGCAGCACTTATTTCTTCCCTGCAATGGGAGTTGTCTACAAGTGCTCAAATCCTGGCTAGCCAGCTGGGTTAAAATGGAAACAACTTCTTGCTAAAATATGTTGATCTTGGGAAGGATCTATTCAAGACACCACCACAACAATACATTCAAATAGGGCCACAAAAAGCAAGCTTACTAGTGCCAGAACTACCACAAAAATAAAGCCCATTTCCCATTCTCAAGTAGTAAAAAATACCTGTTAAAAATCAAATCAAGGTGACAAAGCAACATTGAAATGGTTTGGAATACTTCCAAAGAAAAGATCAGAACAGCTATAGACAAACAGCTATAGACAAACAGTGGACTGTGAAGCCCACTTTGCAACATCACATGAAGAGAAAAAACAACATAATGTGCATTACTGCTATCATCTATTAAAACAGTAGAGAATATAGTTAAAATACCAAATAAAGATAGCCAGACATGATAAAAGGCAGTACATTTCTATCAAAGATATGTTTCTTTCTTTATTCAGAGTTAGCACTGCAGTCTGAACACCTTCTTCCTCACCCATTCTTAATCAGAGCTGCTTGTATGCATTTACACAGCACCCATAGAAAGGCAGACTCCATAAGCACCAACCACCACAGTAACATATTACTCCAGTGAATGGGAGAACATAAACAAGTGCAGGGTACAATTAAGATGCCTTAAAATCTTCTAAAAATATGGGTAATTTAATGTTGTATAAGCAACTAATTGGTTTCCTACAAGAAAAAAAAGCAACCCTTTGGATAACGTTTCCAATGCACCCCATTTTTTCACAACTGAGAAGCAGAAATCATTCTTTTTAAAAAATATCTATTTAGAATGCAATGATTCAAAATATTTTCAATTCATCAGTCAAGCCTAGTGCATACTGCAATGCCACTAGGATAACTAGACCCTTATTCATCATTTTCCTAAATTTTCTTCTAATCAACAGCATCAAACAGGTGCACAATGTGGGTTTGTACCCGAGAATGCAGGTTTGTCAAAGCATTCTAATATTAATTCATGTTAAACCATAACAGACTACATGAACTTCCCAGCTGAATGTTAAGCCTGGCTCTCAAGCCACTGAGAGGATGAGGAAATTTAGTTATGAGAGAAAGTGAGAACACAATAAAATTCCATGGATTTTATTTAAAGATAAAAACAGAGAGCCACAAAAACCTGCACTGTTGAATACGGGAAAAAGTACTTTAGTCACTAAAATACTATGATATACTTGATTTACCCACTGAAAAGCCCAAGAGAAATATGTTTTTTCCAGATTAAAGGTGTATTTCATTCAATTACATTGTGTCATTCAAGAGAAAAAAATAAAATCAGATTCATGTGCATTGTGCAAGAACACAACACACTTTCTTTAAAGCACTGTAAATAGGAGTTAACAGGGCTTTGGAGCCAACAGCACTACTAAAACAGTGAAAGAGAATTCACAATAAATCAATATGGCATGCGGAAACTGCACAGTCTTGCTTTCCTTTCTCCATCGATCAGGCAATAGCTTACAGTTTCTACTTGTGCCTACACAAGGATATGGAGTTAATACAGGCCTGTGAAGTCTCAACACACTGCAACAGTGTTGTTAGTGAAAAAGGTGGGAATAAAGGGTACCTCCTTCATCAGATGGCCTTGTTATCTCACTGCAGTAAGAAAAGGTAGGGTTCGTGTCAGAGCCATCTGACTTATAATCTCCCAGACTGGTAGAATGCAAATACTGCTTACTGTAACGGCTTGCTCTTTCTACAAAGGTAGAAAGAAATAAAGAATATCACAGTAAATAGATGATGGAAGTGCAAAGACAAGCAACAACATAAACCCCACCACTGCTAACACTGCTATTCATACACTGATGGCATTAAAATTAGAGAAAAGTCAATTCTTCGCAATTTTGTATGCATTTTGAGCATCCAAAGCTAGCTTCAAAATCTAATGCAAATAAGCTTGTTCTTGGATTTAAAAGAATAGAATAAATGGAAGGTAGTATTAAGATACCAGAAAGGGAAGGGATAAAGATGAAGAATACAAAAATTTCCAATGGAAAATCAAATTATTCCTTTATCCCAGCATACATACAAGTGCATGCGGAAATACAGCTGTATGTTGCTCAAAAGAATATTTAAAGTTCCAAAGTAGCAAAGGAAATGCATGTGAAAAATTACACACTCAAAAATAAACACTCCTATGCAGGAAAAGAATCAATAAACTTGTAAAACCAAAACCTGCTCCCTGTTATTACATTACTCTCTCTCCTTTTCCATGTATCCTAAAATTATAAACATCTTGGAGTTGCAAATAATAGAACAAAGCATAATGCCATGTGCCATATAGGCAAAATGCACATGGAAAAGAAATCAATTTTGTAAATAGGTCACTTTCTAGAACTCTGAAATTTTATAAGGTCCAACTATTTGAAAATTCTACTTATAGCAAGGACAAAGTAGGTCAATACTTTTTAAATGGCTACTTGTAAGTGGCATGAATAACTTGTTTAAGATAAGATTTATTTCACTATTTCTTATCTCCACATGTGATTATGGCTGAATTTTCTATAAAATACTGCTTTTAAACTACAACAGTTATAAATATATCTACAAGTATGCTTATAAAACATATGGCTGGCATATTGACCTGAAAATTTACAGCATCAACTTAGTTTCACAAACATGAAAAGCTGAATTGCGGGAAAGTCAGGATATAAGCAATACCAGAAAGCATATGCAGACTCCTAGACTGAATATTGTCCTCCAGAGGATCAATGTCGAAGATGGAGCCAGGATCTGTGCGCCAAACTTTAAGATCTTTTTCCAAAGCACAGAAAGTACGAGACAGACAAACAACAAAGGAAGTAAAAGCATGAAAGGAATGAACTTTAACAATCAATAATCAATTTCCTTCATCTGGAAATTAACCAAAATACCTAGATATTCACCTGAAGAGATCAGAAAGCTTAGTTTCCTGCTTAAAAGAACTTAGTGTATTCATTTTGAGCACTGACATTACTCTAAGGAGACTTTTTCTTCCAATTTTTCTGCATTTTCTAAACATGACCATAGTATGTTCTTAAGTCTAAATAAATGGGAATGAGTTAATTATCACATATTAGAGCTCTCTTCCAGTAGCAGAACCAAAATTATCAGAGCTATAAGATTATTTCCCCGGTTCACCAGCAGCATCCTTTTGTGTGGAGATGCTGCAGTGTATATTTCTATAGCTGACAGCTGGCAGTGTACAGCTCCACAGCTGACTGAGACACTACGGACTCTCCTTTGCATACAGCAGAGATCATGTCAGCATACGAAGAAGAATCAGGGCCATAGCTCATCCAAAATATATTTCTGCTGATTGCTTAATTCATGTAAACTCAAAAGTATCTACCTTTCTTAATTAATATCATGAAAATTAACTTAGGTGACAAATTTGCCTGTAGAAATCTGCATTGTACACACAGGATAAAATTACAACCACTCTTGAACTTAACAAGTAATTCCCTGTGCCAGTATGGGCCCAGGTGGCCGAGAAGGCCAATGGCATCCTGGCCTGGAGCAGCACCAGAGTGGCCAGCAGGACCAGGGCAGTGATCACTCCCCTGTACTCAGCACTGGCGAGGCCACTCCTCAAATCCTGGGTTCACTTCTGGGCCCCTGAATTCAGGAAGGACATTGAGGTGCTGGAGAGAGTCCAGAGAAAGGCAGTGGGGAAGGGTCTGGAGCACAAATCTGAGGAGAAGCTGAGGCAGCTGGGGGCATTTAGCCTGGAGAAAAGGAGGCTCAGGGTGACCTCATTTTCTACAACTGCCTGAAAGAGGTTGTAGTGATGTGGGAATAGGTCTCTTCTCCCACATAAGAAGTGACAGGATGTGAGAAAATGGCCCCAAGTGTCAGTGATGTGGGTCTCCCACATAAGAAGTGACAGGATGTGAGAAAATGGCCCCAAGTGTGCCAAGGGAGGCTTATATATTGGATATTACGAAAAGATTCTTCACTGAAAGGGTTGTCAAGCACTGGAACAGGCTGCCCAGGAAGTGGCTGAGTCACCATCCCTGGATATATTTAAAATGTGTTGACATGATGCTTGGGGACACAATTTGATTTTGGGTTTGACAGACCTGGGTTAATGGTAACATTTGATGGTCCTAATGGTCTTTGCCAATCTAAATGATTCTATGATATCTGATATGTCTAAAATTAATTAATCTTTTAATCTCTTCAAACCAATCTCAACTAAAACCTTGATGTAAAATATAATCAGTCAAAGCACAAATCTACCAGATCACACAGTTTTACTATAGTTTCTTTTTGGGCAGACGTGGCTGCAAGATTTACTCCATATACTGGAAGTAAGAAAAAACTGTCTTCCCAGCTTTGTTCTTTTGCTGGTTTGAGAGGTACCAAGATAAGTAATGGATTGTAGGTAAAGCAGGACTGTGAGGACCCCAAATATTTCATGTTTCAAATTATTAACAGCCTAAATGCAATGGAAAGAACAGACAGAGCTAACAAAATAAATTCCATGGCTTTAGAATACATTCAATGTATGTACATCACACATTATCTACCACAACTCCCATAAGGTGAGGCATAGTGCTAACTCCTTCCTGCCAAGATAAATTAAAGCCAATGCAAAAATCTTTTGATAAACCATGTGCTAGTCCTAATGGAGATAAATTATGCAACTATGTGAAGTACTGAGAGGCATGAGAAGGGGTAGGGGAATTGGTGAACATCCAACTTGTCCTGTTTGATCATGCCTTAGAAAGTGAAAATATAAGTATGGCTTCATGGCAGTACCATGCAAGAGTCATTGATTTGTATTGATTTTATCCATCTTTGTAATCTGAAATAACAGACACAGAATCTGAATCTTGGCAATACATAACACAAATCAGTTTTAATTCCCTGGTAGCTTTGGCCAAGGTAAAATATCCTTATATTCATGTGAGAATTGTGGTTTCTCTTTAGTAACAGACTCAAAGCTCACCAACATCAATTCATCTTGATGGGTTTAGAATGGCTTAGTAGGGTTAAAACTAGTGTCTATTTGCCAGAGCAGTGTCATTAATTTTAGTAACCAGGCATTTGAAAGAGTAGCTCCAGCTTCACCAATAATACATTAAAAATCAACCAGAGGGATTCTGACACACTTTTCCTAACTGGCTGAACAATTTTCAGCTACGAAAAATATCCACAAGAGCCCTAAGTATGTTTTTCAGTTTGCAACTTTTTTTTTGAGCTGCCAAGGACATTTCACGAGCAGGGAGCTCACTGCTTCTTTTTAAACAAGTAGATACTATAATTGCAATTTTATTCCAAAAACGCATTAGCTGAAATAGTCATGGCCTTTTTTCCTTTAAATAGTTGTGCAATTTTTGCTGTTTGGCAGGCATGGGAAATTAAGAAGTTCTGTGTATTTTGATACTGGAGTATTTTAGATGATAAATAATACTATATATTTCAGTTCTTACAGCTCAAGAATCTATCTCAGGGATGTCCTTCATTCCAATCTGCTTGTGCTAGTAAGGCTTCAGCTGCTGAACATGGGATTATATGCATGGCTCTTACACAGGGCTACAGCACACATGCAATGCAGCAGAGAGCAAGAGGCTTAGAGCATACACTAAACAGCAAATTGCAAACTGAATGTTACACTGCAATTTTACAGAAGCCTTCTTCTTTTTATTTGGCTGCACCACAGCTATGAAAGTGAGTAGTGATGGAAGATCAACACCTGCCCCAGGCAGAGCTCTCTCAACACACACTTTTGGGAAACCCCTTCTCATATAAGGCCACTATAGCTACAGACACATAAAGGATGGCAACAAAAAAGGAAAGAAATACACTTCCTTATGAGGGGGAGACTTATTCAGGGATTTTAAGGACTAGACTGAAAAAGCATCTGCCACGAATAACATAGCTAACCTTGCTTGAGGCAGGAGGATGGCCTATGTGACCAACAAGTTAGTCCATTTCACCTGCAATTTCTCTGGGTTTTGAGATGCAAACTTGAAGTCAGCCTCACTGTTCTCACTATATATGAAGAATTTTGGAGTGCTATCTTAGTATGGTTTTTTTTGTATACAGATCCTCTGGGGTCTACATGGCTGCAAAGCACAGAAAAACAGAAAGTGACACAAAAAAACCCAAAAGGAAATGAGAAGAAAAAAAAATATTACTGCTTCCTTTGCCGTGGCAGACTTGCTGACTTTTCAGCAATTTCAAATATCCACTTCAATTTTGAAATAGAGCTCATTACGGTTATGCCAAATAATACCTTTACGAAACACCATGTTCTTACATATAAATCTAATCTGCATTCTACCCCTTGAACACCCATTCTTATCTTGGGCCATCTTTCAGAACATCACTGCTCAACACTGGTACTTGGCTTACTAGAGATCTAATGAGTTAGTGATGAATTACAGCTTGATGTATTTTTAAAGCTGTGTGGAACTGTGAAACACAAGGTAAATAGATACGTGCAATTCTGAAGAAATGACTGACTGACAGAAGGGGAAATTTCAAACTGGCCTGCAAAATTTAAACATTGATAGTTTGCAGAATCAGTTTTAATCATATTTCTTTTGTGTAAAATTAAGATTGTAGATATTTTGACCTTCCTTTTAGAGTTAAAATTCAAATTTAAAGTAATAGTAACAACTATCCATATTTTTTTTTAATTACAGATCAAATGACAATATATCTCCCATTCATTCCCATTATTACTTCCCTAGAAGCTGACATGGAACCTGCAGTTCAACCATTAGTTTCATGGTGAGAAAAGAGAGAAAATGGACTCTGGAGAGCACAAACACGGGCTTTTATCTTCCCCATCATGCCTTCAATACCAACAGTATTTAATAGCTTACCAACAATTATTCCTGGTCTTCTATCCATTTCAACGATATGTGGATGCACACCTTTGTATGCTGCATCACTCACAATTTGGGTGTTTTTTCGTACACGCTCTGTTATAGGATCATCTACCACTGGGGTGAAGCCTCTGCCCTTTGTCTTCTCAAAATCTTCATGATATTTTACCTAGGAAAACAAGGAGAATTACATTTTTCCCAAGTTTGCAATTATATGTTTGGTTTATGATATATATACTTATATACTTTGACTTTGCACCATAACAGAATTGTTATACACATGAGATAGGCTGGATGGCCAGCCAAGTATTTTTTATCACGTTAACTAGTTTTTATTATATTTTATAATCAATTTTTCGTTTCTTTTCCATTGATACTGAATTAGGCACTAGCTTAAGCAGCAAAGCATCATTTTACTATCACACAGGACACAAAACAGCCCTGCCCTCAGGAGGTCACCTGGTCCATTCCTTTCTTCTCTAAGACAGGATAGCTGTCTACTGATGCAGACAAATCTATCTGTCAGTAAAAATATTCCAGCAGTAGTAGTTCTAAAGAACTTAAGAATTTTTATTCACTGATAATTTTGACTACTTGCACAGTATCACACAAAATGTATATTCTGCTCTTTTGTTTTATCATATGTCAGCTGGCCTTAAAAATAGGTTTTTAGAAAGAACAACAGTTATTCTAAACTGCCTGTTTTAAAAGAAAATATTAGAAAAAAGGACATTAGAGTAGAAAGTGTTACAGCACCAAGTGTTGGAACAAAACCCCAGTATTAGTAAGAGTTATAAAGGTAGTACTGCTGATTACGCATATTTACATTATAAATAACTTAATCATCAATTCATTAAATTGACAAACATTCTCACACAAGCTGATGCACACAAAACAACTCATTCCAAGAACCAAAGTCACGCAGAAACCAGGAACATGCACAGGCACAAGGTGAAGTGTGTCACCTAATCCAGTGAAATTGTGATGCTCAAATGATGTGTGTACATTTTTAAAGAAAAAAAACCCCAAAAGAACGGACATTTAACTGTTAGAAAACTGTTTATTAGTATTTTGAAAATGTTCATTACACTCCTATGCAGTTAGCAAACACTCCCTCTACAGGCGTAAGAAAATATTCCTTCCATACCTGAGGAGAGAGTTTCATTAGTTACCTATATTAATGGAAGGCAAAATCCAGTGGAAGTCAAGTGCCATTCCTTAGAAGGCTCTAGTCACAGGAAGAAAGTACCCTACCATTGAGATGTTGTTTTGTGTTTCTTTGACATGCCTTAGCTCAGGTGTGTCTAGAAGCACACTACGTCTACCTTTCATCTGCCTCTGATCACTGCTGTACTTGACCTGCAAAACAGCAACAACAGCACAGGTGAAATTTTTTGTTTGCAGTAGGAAGGATGGTGAGAATCACACCATGCAATAATACCTTTCCAAACCCCAACGCCCAACAGTTCTCTTCTTTCTTCATGTGGCAGTAAATTATTTCACAGTGAGGCTACAGATGAGCTTTTGGTAAGCCAAAAGGCATATTTATCCCATCAATCACTTACTAAAAAAGCATTTATTTAAAATCTGAAATTTTTGACTGTTTGAATGACATAAGTAAAATCATTAATTTATCAACTGGAAAATAAAATAAATACTAAGAAAACACCACTGTGACTCAGAACATCATTAAAACATGTTTGTATGGCTGATGATAAGCTACCTTCTTATTACCAAGACAGACACAGTCTGTGGGATTGGGATTACCTGAGAAATCCAGGGAATTCAATCCTTACAAGAGGATTAATCCTTTGGAAGGCTTATAATTCCCATTCAATAGCTAGTCTTTACTAGCAACACAAAGCAACATGTCTGGGAAGATCGGAATATTTTGTTTCCTACACAAATGTTTGGGCTCTGAGTTTTGTGCACCAGTGAGTCCTGTATCTCTTACATCACATTTCTCCTGATTAGCTTATTTTGTGGCATTTTACAGACTAGTAAAGATATAAGGTTAATTATCTGTTAAAAATAAGAAAAAAAAAACACACTCAAAATACTAAAACAGTGAAAGTAGCTGATCCTACTTATTCGTTTGGGAGTGAGTACTCTTACAGTTTTTTCTGTCTTGTTGAATTCTTCTACCAACAGCCTCTCTTAGCTCCTATGTCACACTGTAACCTGTCCACTGTGCTAGTGAATATCCTAGATTTGCCTATCTCTTCACACTCCAAGTATTACTTCTCAAATGAGTTGTGCAAACATGTTTCAACATGTGTTTGTGATGAGAAAAACCATGTATTGAAACTGTCTAACCCTCCTTAAGATTACATATTAGCTAAGAAAGCACACCCATGAAAATATGTATCTTGGTGTCTGTGTTCCAGAGGTTAAGTTTGAAGTAATGTATAAGAAACAAAAATATATGGTACTGCATAGTCTTCAAAGCCTTCTTAATTAACCAGTAAATTCTCTTAGAAAATATACTCAGCTACATATGCTTTTGAATATAAGGCGTTTTCTGGACAGAATAATTACAGTCAACATAGGTTGTTTTTTATCTTTCTCAATAACATAGAGGAGTATTTATCCCTGTAAACCTTGAGAAACAAAATGAATGAGTCACTTGAAGAAACACATTTAATTTTCACAAATTAAAAATTATTTAAAGACTAGAACTGCTGTGAGATTTTCCTCTTATTTTCAACTACACACCTCAAAAATAATTGACTTTGGTAAATATTCATGAGCATTTTAAGAACATTATTAAGATATATGCAGTTACAATGTCAAATTCCATTCCTTTGTCCTTACACATATTCCCTGACAAATGCAACTTACTTTTCACTCCTACACTCAGTTCTCAAGTGTTCATTACTTGTAATTCTCTTCTGCCACAGTGATTCTGAATGAAACCTCTTCTATTTACCATCTGCAATGACTTTGCCATGGATGTTGTTTCAGTGTTGAGGACAGACTGCAATGTCTTATCCTTTATCTTATCCTTTCTTATCTTATCCGTCTTATCTTTTGGTCTTATCCTTTATTTCATCAGGCTTTTTGCACATCTTCCGTGTTCCTTAACAGAACTGTCTCCTACTTCTTATACTACTTTAGTAGCAACTACATTTTATTACCATAAAAGCCAAGAAATATATATTATCTTACTCTTTAGTATTTAGCATTGGACCTATTTAGAACTACTCAGCTCTAACAGAGGTGGCATGTCACAGAATGGAATGTATGCTTCCATGCTTTGAATTGCAAAAAAAAAAGACATTTGCACTGAGGTTAAATTCTCATTTCCTTTTTTTCTTTACTGCAATGAATGACCAACCTCTACTGACTCTCTCCTTGAAAAATACTGACATCAACACAGCCACTTACTTTTTTTGCAAAAATAACCAGACATCCCTGAATGTGTTTGTTGAACATATATGCAGTCCATGTCCTCAAAGAATAAAACCAATATCTCATCAGTGAATGATGTACTTGGATTTCTTTGACATAGCAAATGTAAAAGGAAAAGCATATCCATGTTTATATTTCTACAGCAACTGAAAAATCTGAATGACAAAAAGATTCAAACAACTTGCCGAGCTGATATTATCTTGATTCTTCCTGACTCTCTCTATCTCAGGAGTGACACTCACAGCAGTAGCTTTGCCAGGCTGCTCTCTGTAGTGAACCTATTATGTAACAGAATAAAATATACATTCATACTATTTCAGGTATAGCAATATATCCTTGTTTTATATAAAAATGCATTACTTCAAAGGTCATACAGGAAACAACAGAAAAGCTAAAATGCATCTGAAATTTATTAAAGTTTATAAAACTTGATTTTTGAAAGATAACCTTGAATTATTTTTATGTACAGACTGTTTATTAATGCATTTCTGTGGATATATACCCACATATGCACACAATATCTTGGCATTTACCAGACTGGTCCTTGGCTCTACAGAGAAATAACTCATATTTGGAATGGGGTTAAGCCACATATAATGCAGTATAGGCAAGCAGATCATACGAAAAATAGTGGACCTTCCTGAATTTCAGGTAGGTCCACTGTAAATACATATTTATCAAGACACAGAAATTCCATAAGGTCTCCATCTATGCTCTAAATTTTATATATTACATATTCAAAGGTGATTAAACACAGAGGGTGCAGTACATCAGACAACTGCCAACTGAATCCAGCCTAATTTCACCATGCATTTATTTAAACTTCCTGTAGGAATATCCCCTTCATCACCCTGTAACCCAACACAATGCATTAACCAAATGCACACCCAAGGCTGTAGTGATCTAAAGCAGATCAGGACAGGATGTGGCACTGACAGACCAAGCCATCTAATGTCATCTCTAGCCCCACATGCTGCGAAGTCAGATATGGTAAATATTTAGTAACAGATTCTGACAACAAATTCATACCAATTCATAGATTTTTATGCAAAATAAATGCTTCCATACAAAAGCAAGCTCTTGGGTTTAAGTGGTAAGGTGAACTGTGCAGATATATTACGCTCATAATTCTGCAGTGCAGTGGCAGTAAGGCAGCTATTGCTTAAGTAATTGTCTTCCTGCACAACAGAATTCTGGTCTGTCCACATCAATGTATTCCAATTGAAAAATTAATGTCTTACTAAAACTATGGTAGGCTATCAAATGGATTAGACTTGCAAATTAACATTTATAAAGGTAAAATGACTATTCAAGAATTAATGTTTCTAGAAATGGCTGAAGTAAACAAATCTTCCCTCAAAGTTATTCCAGTGACTTGAAAAGATTTAAACTTTCCAGTGAAATTTTCACAACACAAAAATTGGTGAAGAGTACAGAACAGTGTGAGTAGAAATACTATACAGTATTTCTACAGTATTTCAGTGGCTTGAAAAAGGGGAAAGCAGTTTTTGAACAAAATACATTTTAGGAAAGCTAGATATATCAACAGTAATCCAGAAGTTGAGTTAGAGGGACAGAATTCTTGAAAATTATGACTCAAAATTATTTTGGTGAAAGCAGCAGAAAGCACCCTAGGGAAACACTGTAGCTATTTGTGGACCCATGACCCACGGCTGCTGATGGCAGCTCTCAAGGACTCATCAACAGGGTACAACTTATCAGTGCAGGAAGGCAGTACCACGCTCCAGTCCTTGCCTTCTTCTCTGTACCCCTGCAAATGGTTATCTCAGCCATTAAATATCAAATTCTGATTGGGAGGTTACTGAGGAACCCGACGGACTTCCCTTCTGCTCTCTTACTTCAACAGGTAAGAGAACAGAAGTTTGAGCACAACCGTAGCTAATTTCTCACAAAATAAAGAAAAAATAAAATTGGAAACAGATATTTTGTTTAAAAAAAAAAAAAAGGTCAAGATTTTCTGCAAATATCTAAAGAAGAGGATAATATTTCAAAGCATTGCAGCCATTTCTTTAATAGAATATGTGATGATTCACCTGCCATTTCCCAAACCAAGCAAAGCCTTCTCACAATTGCATCCTAAGAGAAGATTTTCAAGTAATTCCATTACTGGAATTCGAACACGTTACAATACATTAGTTTCTCCCAGACTAAAGGAAAGGCACCGTTTCAGGAAGCAGAAATTTGTATTCATCTTCTGCACCCAAAAATTACACCAAGTATTAAAGGATAGCAACTTCCCATGCTGACATTCTCTTGATTCCTCTTGACTCTTTCCATCTCAGGGGTGACACTCACAGGTGTAGCTTTGCAGAGCTGTTCTTTGTACTGAACCTAGCAAACATGTCAGAAGATATTACAACAGAGATTTCCAAGTAATAGAAATACGTAAGTGTGCTAGACATCACTAAAGAGCACATTGCATTTGGATGGAAAGTACCATTCCTTAATAATCAATCCCATCCTCCCACACAATACTTAGTACTCACCCTCTGGCAGTTCTTCTATTTCAAACACAATTGTTATTTCAACATAAATACTTCACTCTCATTCTTATGGATCAAAGTGTAAGACTAAGGAATTATCATTTTACCATTAATTGATTAAACTGGTCTTTGTGGACAAACAGAAAGTAGCACAAACACCACAGATATATTCACCAAGACACAAACATATTTAATATGGCAGAGAGAAGTGTGCAAGAAATGAAAATGGGGCACACATTGCTAATATTCTTCTGGTTTTCCTTAACTCTCCTTAGTTCAGGTGGATCAGAAATAGTTGTTGCACGCCGAATTTCTTCCTTGTATTTAATCTGCACAATAGATATTACAAAAACATTATCAATTTAAAGAAGAGAGAGGCACTAAAACACATCTATCACTTTATACTCTTGCCCTTACACATACTGCACTAACAGACCACATCTACTAACACCACTGGCTTGAAAAGCAACAGTTATAGTTAATTTCTAAAACAGTCTGCTAGGGTCTCTGATGTATCTTGTTTGATGTAAAGAGCAGAGAGTGCTTATAACAATTCTCGTGTACTAAAACTCTTACAGTGGGAATATACATCACATGGGATTGTGGTCATTTTCACCATAATTGGGATGCTGCATATACTACTTGGAGATCCACGCCACTTTGAAAATTACTTGGTCTTACTATTAATTTGCTATGGAGTCTACCAGTCCATTTCAGAAACCAAGCCTTTTAGGTGTTCCTAAAAGGGTGGATGGCTTCAGTCTCATTGAATTTCTTTAAAAACACATGAGACACACAGTTGAGGATGCAGTTGTCTGGATTGTTGAAGCCTTTGCAGGTGCTGTCAGATATTTACTGTTTTTTTCCTAACATTTAATTTTCTACTCTTCTTCTCAAGACATGGTACTTCTGGAGAACGCCCAGTTTCATAGCATAGACAAAACAACTTGTTTTCCTCTAAGCTCATACTTGGAAGCTGTTTTGACTGAAATTTATAAATAAATAAAACCAAACCAGCCCAAAGCACAGACAAGGAATGGAAAATTACAGTCCAGACAGTTTAGGACTGGCAAAAACACTATAGCACTAGAAAAAAGGGTCTTTTAATAGAGACTATTAGGTAAGTTTAAGAATTGGCAGAGCTACTCATCCTTAAAATGCTTCAAAATGTCTGTTACTTGAATTTTAATAAGACCCCAGCTTTGTGGTATTGACTGACATACCACAGAGGTTTCCTCACAGATTTCACACTAAGAAAAGCACAAATAGATTCTCCCAAAACACTTCTTCCCAGTGCTCTGTCCAATCCTGCCTGCCCCAAAATATAAACAAGGTTTTTAAAAGTCCTTAGTTATTTGTAGCTTCTCCGTTCAGATTCAGCTACAGTCCATGGATCTGTGGCTTGCTTGGAAAGTTCTGTGAGATCCTGGCTTCTTCCAAACCCATCATCACAACAGGTGAGATGAGCTCAACCTCCTTGGCTGTCATCAACTCGTATTTTAGGCTTTGAAAACACCATTCTTATGTTTTTCTCCTACATATGTAACCTGGAAGAATCTGATCACTTTCGGAACACGATTCAATGAACTTTTTTGTGTGGTGGGTTGTACTGTAAGTGTTATTTTGGTGTCCTGGTGTTGCTTTCACTGAAAATTTGCTTCACATTCCACACACTAGTTTTGTTTAGCCCAGAAAACAGTTTTAAGGCTGTCCCAAGTTCTTCTGGCTAAATTCAAAAATATGTGTAAAACATTTAAATCTAATGGATTCAAAATTGGTGTAATTTACCCTTCCTTTGGGACTCCTGTAAATTACACAATACTATTTCCCTCTTACTGCACAATACAGTTTCCCTCTCACTGACATGTAATTTGAAATATCCTTGTACATTGCCTTGAAATTTGGCATGCTACACCTCTAATACATATTATACAAGACTAAAGTAATTTCAAGTACACTATGTGTAATAAAATACATTTTGCAAAACATTAACTCTACACAAAGACTAGCAAGGTAGAGGCCATGCTATTTACATAGTACCACTACACCACTAATGCATTTTGTACTTCCCTTGGTAGATTTTTCCTCAAATGTGTTTACTAGCATAGTAATCAACCTTTCATTTTTCCCTCTTCACTACTATTCAGGATTTCTAAGACAGCAAAGTACACTATTTTTCCATTTTACTTTGAAATGTATTATGAAAAAGCACTAGAGTAAGAATTCTCCTTTCTGTGTGACTACTCTTGAAATAAATATCTGTAGTAATTGGAAATTTAAAAGCAAAATAACAAAAAAAAAAAAAAAAAAAAAAAACAAGGAAAAAAAAAAAAACAAGAAAAAAAAAAAAAACAAAAAACACCTCACTCTCAAATCAAGAAAATCAACAGCTTCAACAGCTTCCAAACCAGCAGGTTTCAACTGTTCAATATCCAACTATTTCAGGATTTAGGACACATGATAGCTTACATTATGACTCAAAATTACAAGATGAACAGTGATGGGGTAGAGTAGAAAAAAATTTTAAGGAAAATATGAACTTTTGAAAATTTTTTGGAAATTCTCTACTGACCTTACTTTGGTAGGAAATTAGGTGTTTAACATTATTCAGTAAACAATGAAATCCTATGAGAATTTTCAGTGAAATCCTATGAGGTGTCTAGAGACCCTAATTCACATTTTAACTAATACTTAAACACAACATAGTATCATGTCTACACATTACTTTTAAACTTTACTTTTTAAAAAAGCATTTAATAATTAGAAAAGTCATGTCACAAACATAAATATTGTCCCAGAAGAGTCCCCACCAAATATAACAAGGAAATGAACAATACAGTTACAAGAGTTTCGCTGCTTGGCAGTCACTTTTCAGGTTTTTTCCAAGTTTTGCCACATATTTATCAGAAGATAATGTATTATTTGAGGAAAACATTCATTTTGATACCTAATTTTGATTTGCCTATTAAAGTGCCAAAGACAATGGGCATCCTTAGATAAACAACATCAATTCAGAACTAATCTCATCAGATCCACAGATCAACTTTTCACCAGCGTGTAAATAAGATCCAACTCTCCACCTTTTCATACAGGAGAAGTTTGGACATAGCTTTTCTCATCCTTAAGTACAAACTGTATCAAGTCCTATGCAATACATGCGTTCTAACAGAACATGACAGATTTTCTTTTTTGTCACATGGTATTTTTCTAACCTCAAATAGAACTGCTGTTCAGTACGTCATATGGGGAAATGCATGCCAGATTTCTCACTCCTGAGAGCCAAAACCCTTTCCTCAAATATTTAGTTAAAATATTTTCTTATTTTACTTAATGTTTCAATTAGAATCTCTGCCTTTGGACACAGAAGTACTACAGTAGAGGGGAGTTCTAGCTGTGCTAGAATAGAGCTCTATATCCAAAATCCAGTGGACAACTTTTTGAATGAGATGTGTGATATGAAAATCAAGAACATTTTAGTAAACAAGATGGTTAAAAAAAAAGTTGCTCCACCTATTACTCACATAAGAATAATTTATGATAATAGCACTTACCGAACTAATATTCTGTTGATTTTTCTTTACTCTTTCAATCTCTGGAGTATCTTTTACAGCTGTGCCAGCTCCTACTTCCTTCTTATAAAACACCTTCATTTCCCCAAAAGAAAAGATAATTATGAGACTGTTAGCAATGCAAATGCTAGTTCTCATAAAAGGGCTAGGCAATTTTCCAAGTTCCAAATTGGTCTGACTATAAATCTTGCTAAGAAAGCAAATACTTTAATTTTTCATAAATAAGACTAATTGTCAATAACTATGATAATATTGTTTTCAGCTGTAATGCAGATAATATATCCTCATCCTTTAAACTGACCTCAGTATTTTTAAGTATTTGCAATAACATATTCAAATTTGGAAAAATATTAAAATTTATACAAAAATGTATAAAGTTTTACAAATGTGACTTTATGCTTGAGTAATTTCATTCCTTTCAATGTCATTGAAGGTAGATGTATGTGCCAGATTTGATTTGGTTTCTGTAGTCTTCAGATCTTAAAATACTATGAGAAGTGAACAGACATTACTATTATTTCTAAATTAATGAACTAGAAAACTGAAATATTCATGGAAAAATAACCGCAACAAACCAGAGCTACAATCCAAGTCATGCAATTTTTGACTCCTAGGTTCAAGCCAGAAAACTGAGGACTGTATCTAAAATCAAAACTCACTTCTCAAAAGATACACATGCTGTTTATACAATTCTATTTCAATCATTTCAGTAAAGGATAAACACAAAGCACATCAGTAGAATCAATTATTTGAAGTTACTGAAAGAGATAGTAAATAACTGCTCCACAAATTCCAAGCATGGTTACAATTTAAATAACCATGGAGCACCAGCTCATGCTGCAAAACTCCTGAAGTTTTACTGGATTTTCAGTATTTGGTGTCACAGCTGTTGCCTCTCTAGTATGTATTTCCAGTCCATTAGTGTAAAAAAAGTCTGATCCTGGAGTTAATAAAATTAATCTTTATCGTTTAGTATTTCTGCCATTCTTAAATCGAAATTTATTTAAGTTTTCCTATCAACAAACCTTGAACACTAAAAACCTCATTCTTGATTAATTCCTCTGACTTCCTTGAAGTCCTCCATAGCCTGGGGTGAATACTACTGCCAAATATTCTAGAGAAGAGTCAATGTCTGCAACTAATATTTTAAATATTCAGAAAACCCTTAACAATCTAGAATTTTGTTTTACCATGTGGTAACAGAGACAGTTTATGAGTAAGAACTTGAAAATTCTGCTGCATCATGTGAGTTATAAAGATTTATATTGTGGACTGGACTACAATATACTTTTCTCCTGTACCAAGGAAGGATTGGTAAAATATGTTGCAGACAGGAATTTTTCTACAAAAGAGATGACTGTGAAGTAAATATCCTTTTATAAATCATCTGCCAAATGAGCTTGTGAGCTAAAAGTTGCAATGATCTTATCTGCAGAGCTATTTGTTATTTTTTGTCAAATAAGGCAGAAAAACAATTGAGACAAAATCCAAAAATCATAAGATTATTAGGGGTCATTTGTTTTTTATCTATTTGGGCTGCTTCCAGCTCTATCTACACTCAGTAATAATTTGCCTTTATCATCTAAACTGCACAGAAGGATGAAAGACTAAAATATAGAGAAAGAAGAAAAAAGGTAGTTCATTCACTGCTGTAAACTGCTTTCCTACATTTGGAAGACCCAGCTCACAAAGAGGAACAGGACAATCACAAAAGAAAGCAAATACAAATCACCTCGAAGACAAAACATTTCATTTCTTATTATCTAGAACACTAACAAAGAGGATCATTGTCAGCCTTGGCACTGAAAGCTCAGACTGGCCTACAGGGCTCAAGGGGTTCAGATCAGAGCCTTGTCAAGGCTGAACCAAGTGGTGATACCCATCTTAATTAAGCCTGGTACCTAAATGTTAGTGAGTCCACGCTGCCAGAGCCACTGACCTACTTGAGGACTCCATCAAAAGCTATCAAAGGCTGGAGCAGGGAGGAAAGCAGATCACAGGGCTGGCTTGGCTGCCTCTGTTCCAGGGAGTTTCAGCCTAGCCTGACAGGACACCACTGACATGAGAAATGGGGATAACCACATCACACTATGCTGCGGGGCACCACTCAGAACCAGGAGCCATCAGGTGACAGGAAGCAAAATTGGGCCAGTGGGCCTGTCAAGAGCTCCTTCTAGAAAGATGCAGCTTTCAGCTGTCCTCATTTTAAAAGAAGAAAAAGGGCAGGTGATAGCTGGAGATGACCACAGCCTGGAGCAGGCCCAGAGAGGAATCTCCCCAAAGGCTCTTACTCCCTTGCAGAAGCCTCAGCTGTACAGGGGAGCTGCAGGCAAACACCTCTGGGAGAAACTAACTGAGTTTTCTCAATTACTTCTGAGAGCTGGAGAGCTGAGAATTTCTCTAAGCTAAGGAACATGTGTGTCAGATAATACTAAAAATATTTAAGTATCTCATATTCCTTTCTCTCAAATCATTACCTTTATTAGTATTACTTAGTCTGCCCTAAAAACCAGCCACTGACTGGCCTTTTGTTCTGAAGGCCAGATTTACTCCTCTTCTCTGTTATATTATGAGCAAAAGCAGAATTACAAACAGCAGCATTAATGGGACCAAAAAGGAAGTGAAACTTAATACATCCCAAACTGGGCAATTTTAGAAATCTAAGCTCATAATTTATATTTAGGGATAAACTGAAACTTAAATCTAGCATAAAATTTAAAAATATAACCAGTGTAATATAAAATCATTACATATATATATTTATGAAATTTGATCTGTTCTAATTTTATACCCCAATCTTGATGCTCAGTACATGTGATAGGAAACAGATGAAAAATCCCTTATGTGTAGTAAGAAGCCTTAGATTTTTTTTCCCTTTTAAATAAAGTACTTCCTACAGCTTGATGGAAAAAGAAAAAAAATCTTCATTTAAAAATAACTGTGGCTTGGCAAGGTGGTGTAAGTGGTTTAGAAATTCAAAATAACAGCGTCACACCTAGAAAAGCTGGGTATTATTTTTACTGAAAGAAATGAGTGATACAGTTTTTTCCAGGAAAATTGTGGAAATGGTTCAAAGGACACCTACTCATAAGTTCCCTATTTTACGCTGTGGCACAAGAGAGCCTATTTAAACTAAAAAATATCTGAAAAGCTACAAGCGAAGAGAAGCACTATTACTCACTGAACTGATGTTTTTCTGAGTACTTCTTATCCTCTCCATCTCAGGAGTGTCTGGGACAGCAGAATAGTTACAGAGCATCTTCTCTGCTTCATCTTTGTACATTTTCTGGAAAAACAATTTTTACATGTCTATGATTTTTGGGCTCAGGATATACAAACTGCACAAAAGATGCTTACTGCTGATGAGCCTCCTCATCCCTGTCCAGTATTTATTTAAACCCATCTTCTCCATGATACTGTTACCACTGTCTGCCCCCACACTAAAATATATACCTATATACAATATATCCTCATCTATAACATACCTTCATACACAATGTATCCTCATGTATATCTTCCCCTCACTGTCAGGATGTATGTAATGTATTAAGTAATTTGGTAATGTGAAAAGAACTACAGGTAGATGTAAATAATTAAATTCAATTTACATGCTATAACAGGCCTAACAAATAAGAATTAGGCAGTTAAGACATTTCAATTCATGTAAATTAATTTAGTATGGCTATGAAAGCCTCTACAGAGATAAGAAATATTTTGAGCAGAGTATGTCAAGCAGTCATTGTTACACAGAATCAAAACACTCAGCTTTTGACTATGTCTACCTGGCTTGCTACTTCTGAAGCCCTTTTGACCCACTGTATTTCTGGAATATATTGCATCCCTTTATCCTTTCTTTATCCTTTTTATATTCCTTCAGAAGGAAAAATAAACTGTAAAAGAAAAAAAAAAAAAAAAACACCAACCCAGAAAACACAGAAATAATACTACAACTCCCTGTACATGCTGTCTTCAAACCTATTCTCATAGTACTGGTCACATTATAAAAATATATTCTTCAGTTTATTCAATTTAATATTTTTATTGTGCACTGCTTGCTTTCTTTAGCTTAAGAAATTTCAAGACAATTTTATGGTTTTAACATCTCACTGTGTTCTACTTTCAAAGTAATCTTAAATCAATTAATTCTGTACTCACCTGGCTGACAATTTCAGAAGCTTTTTTGGCTCGTTGTATATCAAGGGTATCCGTACCCACTTCCATTCCCTTTCCTTTAATTTCATTCTCCAAGTCTTTCTTGTATTCTTTCTGAAAATAATAGCATTGGAAATACAGCTGACAGCCAAATTCTTAATCTTTTCCCAATTTAATCTGTGTGATTTCAATGGCCACCATTCATAAACCACCAAATAACTGATGATTCAACAGTACTAGTTTTGTAGAACCTATCCATGCAATGCTTACACTGTAGTTGCTGATGGGTTAAAAAACTCTTTCAACAGGCTGCTGCCTTCAAATCCGATGCAGCCTTTCACATCTACCTGTCTCTGCAGTTTTGGCAGCCACAGTCAGACACGTGTGAGAATTTCTCCATCTGCTGGGCTTTGGAAGACTGAGGTCATAATGCTTTAGCATCCCTCTAGCTCTGTTTATCATTTGGCCCTACCTAAATAAGTAGCTATTTAGACCTGAAAGCAGCAGGGCCCACAGTGACCAAACACACCCCAGGCCAGGCATGGCTCATGAGGAACAAGCACAGCCTGCAAAAGGTGACAGGAAGGTGTAAGTTCTGGGAAGTCTTAACTTTCCCCCTTACACTGATTATGCAACTGTTCAACTCTCTGCAGCTATTTAGATTAGCTATTTAGAAAAATCTGTGTGTTCAGTACTGGCTAGATTGGTAGATTGGCACCTGGAATTCTCAGCCCCAATAATTTGCTGCATTCTGGCAAATGGAAAGCTCATCCCAGGAGAGGCACTGACCATGCTTGCAATTTCAGAAGCTTTCTTGGCTCGTCTTATCTCAGGTGTATCTGGACCAACTTCCATGCCTTTCCCTTTAATTTCAGTTTCCAAGTCTTTCTTGTATTGCCTCTGTGAAGACAGAATTTATATACGATATTCACAAAATTCAGAGAGTTACAAGCAGATTTTTTCCACAAGACACTCAAATTTAGGATTTAGAGTCAATCGAAACTTGCAAGAGTTACAGTTTTTAAGATTCTTGGTGAGCTGTTGTCAGAAAAAACACATAACAAACTACAGGAGGAAAACTTTTAGAAGATCTTAAATGAATGTACAAATCTCTATCTATGAAATTTTAATGTGGCAGAGGGTGGGAGGAAATCAGCCCATGCAGCCTGCTACAGTTATCCTCTAAAGTAAAGGGGAAGTTCAGCTCTGCAGAACATGGTGTAATAAGTCTGTCCTTGGTGCCAGTCTAATTGAAACACATTTTACTTTTAAGAAAATATTTTATTTATGACAGACTACATGTTAGAAATTTAATACCATACAGAACTGCTTCCAGTGAACTTCCAGATCAGGAAGTTGTAATTTATTCATTTAATAGGTCCTTCCTGAACCATAGCCATTAGCCAAGTGGCAGTCCTCATCCATGATTGCTGCTTTTTCCTCATGACATAAATTATAAATAACCAATAACCAGAAAACAAAATTAATATTTCATCTTCAGCTTATCCAAGCAAGGATATGTTCCTTGTTCATCAGCAAATTATATTAAAAAGTATTATGGAAATATTTTATACAGTAGTTGTAGATTTTCTTTTATAAAAACATATTCTCAGCCAGTGCTATTTCTACTTTCAGTGCTGTAGTAACAATGATTCTTTTTTCTATTCTAGGTCATCTCTCCCTGTGGAAAATTCTTCTTTTTCAAAGTAAATACATATAATACATATAATTTTAAATGCCTCTTACTTTTCTTGTTTGTTAATTACTTTCAGCTTGTACATTAGTTAGAAAAAGAAGGAATATGTGTTTGTACTCAATACAATGGTTTGAACAGTTACAAGAACATGAGCAAAAAGATTTTCAGTCTTCCATCTCTGTCTCACTTATGTGGAAATAAATTGATAAAACAGCCCTCTGCTTCACAAACCATGTTTTTTTGCAAGAATTGTAAATTAACCTGGAAGAAGACATCATCCCTCAATTCCTCTCTGCTAAAGGTGGGATGGTAGATGTTTCCTCTAAACTTCGTATTGCGTAAAACACCAAGGAAAAGATAATCCCAGGAGTTACAGCTATATATTCCTGCACTTCTTTACAGTGGTCAGATTGGCCCTATCCATGGCATTCCCTCTGTTTTTTTATGGATATATGTGTGCATGTATATTTATAACAATATCTGTGTGCACGTGAATAAACATATATATTATACTATAAATATATAAACAAATAAATAAATAATGTAAGGTAGATTTTTATATATCCATAAAATTCTGAAATTATTCCTCCCAGGCATAACATTCAGCATGAGCTTTGCCTTCCCTCTTCCGTCCCTATACCCTCCAGCCCCTCTGTTGCTTTCCAGAGACAGCCCTGGATGTCTGGAAGTCCACCCAAAGTCATGCGCCAGGAAAGCCTCAGCAGAGCCCAGCTCTAAATATTGGATCTACTGACACCACTAATAATCTCCAATGTCCTTTTACTTGCCTGAAAATCTGAATTATCTGTTCTGCATTGTTTTTTATCCAGAGCTTTACTGTATTTTTCAAGCAAAACAGAAATTGCCCTAGTCTCAACACTTACATATTTCATTGCAGATTATGTAAAAAAAAAAAAAAAAAAAAAAAAAAAAAAAAAAAAAAAAAAAAAGGAATCTTTTGAGTTTAACACAAAGTGAACCTTCTGTGATATTAATAGCCTTGACTAGGATAACATACCTCATTTAGTATCTGAGCTGCATTTTTCACTCTAATCAAATCTGGTGTATCTTCAAACACTGTCATTCCTTTTCCTTTCATTCCTTCTTCCAAATCTTTTCGATACTCTTTCTAAGGATTAAAAAAAAAGAGAGAGAGATTTCACCAGTTCTTATTTTGCGCGAGATCTTGAAAAGAAATGCCACTTATTAAACATCTGAAGAGTCTCTTTGAAATTTCTATGAAATATGAATTAGCTGAAGCACAGATTTCAGACTTGAAATAGAATTGAAAATTGTGAAATGAAAAGGAACAATGTTAAAAAAGTAAAAAGATTTCAATGTCGTCAACTATTTTTTTGTGCTCTTGAAAACCAGATGTGTCCTATACAGCATGAGCACACTGTTTAGGGCCCTTGTCTGTCTGTCTCTGGACAGATATTTTCACTGCAGTAGCATTTTCTTTCTGCAGATCAGCAGTGCTGCAGTTCTTACCTCGGTTCCATTAATGGCATCCCAATCAGGATGGATTCTCTAAACACCATACTAAGACATGTTAAAACAACCTCTTGATAAATTAAAATGTAGAAGCAATATTCCTACCACATCATTCCTGTGTCTCCTAGACGCTGCACTGGTATGACCTATCAACATCCAGCAACTGCAGCCTCCAGAGTACTCAAATATTCAATATGAAATTCAAAGCACACGAGAACCTGCCCACAGACATTTGATTCTTTTTGCTCTTCCCAGCTCCTAGAGAGCTGATGTAAGCCTATTGAAGTTCAAGATCTTTAAGTTTTGTAAGGATTTTTAATTACTCTTCACATCTCCAGATAAGGAGCTTTTTTGGGCAAAGAAATTAGAAGAACATTGCACAAAATATTTATCAGAATGATTTACATAGACATGAATTAATAGTCCTAATTATATATTGAGTTTCATAAGCAGCAGTGAGCACCTTTATCTCCCTATAAGCTCTTTATTTAAATAAAAGGAAAACAGATATTTTTAAAGATGCTTCTCTTGATCATAAAGAAGCATGGCCTACAACGAGCAGGAAACAATTTCTTCTAATATAGAACTATTTAACTCTGAACTATTTAATTCAGCTTCTTCTTCTGAAGGAGTTATAAATGTGGTCCCAGAGAAGAAAGTTTCTATTGCTACAAAATGCAAAATATTTGCAGAGTTCTCTACAGTGGGAAGTCAACAGAATAAGCTGGAACACAGCTGACATTTGGGTAAAAAAAAAAGTAATTGAACAACTAATTAATTAACTCCAGGTTTTTATTGTTCCATGCAGTATCTATTCAAAGTTGATTATGAACCTTTATGGAAAAACACTGAGCTATATACTTGACTGTGAAGAAATACATAATTTTTCTGAATCATGTAAGGTAATAATTAATTTTACCTAGGTAATTTTTGGGTTTGGAATACATTCCTTGAATGTGGATATAAAATCATCAGAAATTCATGCAGTTATGCATTAATGGAAATACCATTTTCATTTTCTCATTTTCTTCCCCTTTGACTTACAGGCATGGTTTACTCCCTGAATAAGAAGCCATAAAACTTGAAGAGGCCAGAATTAGAGAACATCCTAATGCATACAGCACTAAGGAGGGGAGCTACATCAAATGTCAGAGACGAACATGTAGAGCACACGATATAACTATGCATACAGTACCCACTTCTTTGGGCATTCAGTGAGCAGCAAGATGAACTGAATGAGATGACAGCATGATTTGCATTTTTCCCTCGTGAGAAGGTATATATGAGATGTACCACAGAATGCCACTGCAAAAAACAGACCTAGCTTGAAACTTGCCTATCTGACAGTCAGACTTATCAGAATAAATTATTTATTAGAGGATGAATTATAAAGGAATATCTTTAAAGATTTTTTTTTTCTTTAACCATATGAAATCTAGCATGGACTGGAATAAGTTGTATAAAGAACAAGGAAAGGAACAAAGTCCAAGGGTTTTTAATTTTAACATGTTTTATTTGTTCTGGGGAAAAAAACAAAAACAAAAACAAAAAAAACCCTATCCTTAATACCATAAATACAAAGTATTGCTGGCTGCCAGATTCAAGGGCAGAATATCTAGTAGTACTGCTCTTCTCTTCTAGCATTTCTAGCTCTTCTAAATTTGGTCAAGCAATACTCAAAACCTAACATGAAACCAGTTTTAAAAATAATAAAAAAAAATACTAAAGGTTGAAGGATTCTCAGTTATGGAAAAAAAAAATTTCATTTTTAGTGACACATACAACTGAAGAACATTTCACAAATCTGAAGGAAAGAGTAGGCATACAGAAAACCGGTACCTTCTAACAAAATCGACTACAGCAGTTATGTAATATCAGAGCTCTATTACGGAATTTTGGTCTTCTTTATTTTTTTATCCATAACATGTATGATAGACAATTATTTTAATAAAATTAGTTATCATTTACTCTATGCAGTTCAAGGCATCTGTTTAACCACAACAGGCTACCATAAATGTGAAATAATTACTCAAAGGGAAAAACTACCATCTGGAATCCAACGGAAATCCTTCCTTCCACCCCTTTATCTATCTGAAAAGAGAAGTGATAGTCTGGTTCAGGTGTGCTGAACTTTATAATTTCCTTACTACGGGACTATTCAGAATACAAAATGATGCGAATAAATTTTTACTTGTGAAGTGACTTGTATGTAGCTGCCAAGAAAATTTTAAGTTATTCAGCACTCAGCAGCTCATATTGATGCTTCTTATTGCTCATTTACAACTTAACAACTGAAAAAAAAAATCCTTTACCTCTTTCAGAAGATTAGTGACTTGTTTTATATGCAAGAACTCTGGGGTCTTGTCTAAATCCAACGAAGGTCTTCCCTTGATCCCTTCTTCAAAATCTCTGCGGTACATTTTCTACCATAGCATAACCAACAATTAGTGGTACATATATATGCAATTCCAAGCACATTTTGGGAAAGATATTGTAAACAAAACCATAAATAAGCCCTGCCATAAATTAGATTTCACACTAAAAAGCAACTCATTATGCATTTCATTATCTAGTTTATTTATACACAGATACAATCTAGACAAAATAGGTGTACAGGATGTCCAAAGAGAATGTTGAACCTGATCTATGAAAGAAACCGTTTTCTTGGTAGGGAAAAGAGAAGACAAATGGCACACAAGGAAATGGTTTGAAACTCATCAAAGTTTCTACCAAGAGGCTGAGATAATCTGTTTTCCATGACACAGCAAAACTAATGGAATCAAACTGCAGCATGGGGACACAGGTGCGTCCATCTCACTCAGGATGGATGGCAATGCACTGGACTAGGTTATCTGGGAAGTCACAAAATCTCCATCATTTGAAGTTTTGGGGTTTTTTTAAGTTAGAAAAACACGGCCTTATAGAAGACAGCCAGTGCTGTTCTGGAGCCTGGGAACAGTCCCTCCTCCTTGATGAGTTTCCCAGGCTGGAAAGGCAGGAGGATGTTTCAGCTAAATCAAGGGGTTGGACTGGATTTTGTGGCTTCACTTGCCCTAACGTGAGAACCATCCCTCCCTAAAGATGGAATTCAAGTGAAAATTTTAAAAGTTATTAATCTCTGATCTAGATAACCTATTGAGCTTCTTCTCAATTAAATGATGTGTGTGTACTGTTAGTACAAATGGTCTTTTGAGAAAAAGGCAAATTCACAAGGACCGAACTACAGATTGGCAGAGATAACTACTCAGTACAACTCTACCATATCCACAATTTACTCTCTGCTTCATTCATTATGCTCATACCTGAGCACAACATGTCTGTTAACCTCTCTCTTGATCTAAATTTTACTTGTTCAAAACGTACATTTTTACTTACCTCACTTTGCATCTTTTGAGCCTCCTTTGAAACTTGATACATTGGTGTATCCACAAACTCCAGCATTGATCTGCCTTTAGATTTTTCATAATTTTCTTTGTACTTGACCTAGTAGTATTAAAATAAAGTCTGTTAACAGCTGAGAGAATACAAGATTGCTTGCCTTGGCAAGAAACAAATCCTGTCTTAGCCATACTCCTTAGATGTTTTGACTTGGAAGACTTCTCCCAAACTTAGCCTGTTGGGCAGTTAGATAACATAATACGCTTTGGAGTCATTTATTCCTTTACTACACAATTCAGACCTAGAAATTGTGAACATTGAAGACAACAGGAATAAGGAGCATCAAGTACAATCCTTTAAACTAATTGCATGGGTTTGATCAAATGACCTATGTCTGAACACTTGGAAGCTTTTTAATGGGATCCCCTGCTGTTTCCATAAAACAACACATTTACTGTAACAACAACAAAATCTGTTTCACAGCCAGGCCCCACAGGTCTTTTTACCAGGCTCAGAAGCATCACTCTCAAATTCACTTTTGTTTGTACCTGTGGGAAGGAAAAGTGAAGAAAAGCTACTGCTTTGGTAGGGCCCTGTCCTGCACCAACACTCCCCTCACATCTACCAGGGACCTTGACCTTAGAGCTGGCATAAAAATCCCAGTGAAGGACACAGGGTTAAGACATCAACTTATTCCTTTATGCTAACTCACAAAGGAAATACACTTTGTTGGGAAACCTGGAGAAGCCTTCTGAACTCATTCATTCACACTCTTTTGATTAAGACTGGCAAACACATTACTTGTCTCCATCAGTCAGTGTGGGGCATGATGGAATAGTCTACAAAAGCCTTAAAGGAAAGCAAATAGCTACAAATCAAAATATTACATTTATAGTCAGTAATGTAATTTTAATTTCTATGTCTCTTCAAAAATAGTGATGTCTGAATTTCTCCTTTGCCGTCAGGCTTCTTCATTAGGCTTGGGTCCTGCAAAACCACTCTCCTCCCTCCTCAGGGGGTGCTTCTGATTGAATATGCTCTGCACATCACTGAAATCTATTATGTGGCTTTGTGCATGATTCAATCACTGCTAAAACACTGCATTTCTCTCTTTGCAAGATGTGTTCATTTGTGGTTGTGTGTACCTGACTTTGAAATACTGCATTTTCTTTGAAATGGATTTGCTCTGCAGCGTCTGGGCTGAAATGATAGAAACAATTGCTTTGCTTAAATGATTTCTTATATTCATACTGAAACAAAAATTCCAAAAATGTTTTCACAGACACAATCTAGAAGGTTTTGAAATTTAAATACTATTTAAAATAACTGTGAAAGAAAAAACATAGAAGAAAGAAACTATATTTTAGTCCTACAAACTGGGGAGTTCTATCAAATGTGAATTTAAAATGTTGTGATTAAATTTAAAAAAAAAAATGATAAAAAATAGCTTTTGTACATTCCTAGAGAAAATAGCTTTCCTGCTAATCTAGAAGTCAGATTTTTCTAAGTTCCATAGAAAATAAACATTATTATTTACACTTGAAGTGCAAAGGAACACATATGATAGTCTGGGTTTGCCTCCTAGTGGAAAGAACTATGAATGTCACACAACAAAATCACTTTAGTAGTGGAAACAAATTAAAATTACCTCCATCTACAGACACTGATCTCATACTTTTTCTTCATTCCTCAGCTAACGGAAGAAAATTTTTAAGAAATTCTATGAAATCAACTTAGCTAAGCTTGTAACTTTTTACTACATTAAGCTAAACTACAAGCACCAAATTCAGTCTCTGAAGTTCTATTTATTCACCCTGTTCATTAAAATGAAATACATCTAAGTTCCCCCTTTTTTAGCCTGAATTTCATTAGTATCGCAAAGTCTCCACAATAGGAACAGATTTAAAATGTGAAAAACACTAAACTAGCTGTTCTACGTATATCAAAGTGTCAAATTTTGTGTCTCCATAGTTCATACCAGAATTATATATATATCTGTCATGGTTTAAGCACACAACTGCTCACACACTTCACCCCAGGGGGATGGGTAGAGAATTAGAAGGGTAAAAGTGAGAAAATTTGTAGTTTGAGATAGGAAGAGTAAAATAATTTAAATAAAATAAGCTATTATAATAATAAACAGTAATAAAAGGAAAATTTAAAAAAGAGTAAGAAATAAAGCTCAAGGAAAAAAAAACAAAATATGTAAATGAAAAAAAGTCACTCCTACCACCAACCTATCAATGCTCAGCCTGTCTCTGAGAAGGAACCCCTGGCCAACTTTCCCCTAGTTTATATACTGAGAATGACACTATATGGCATGGAATATCCCTTTGGCCAGTTTGGGTCAGCTGTCCTGGCTGTGTCCTCTGGCAGCACCTCATGCACCACCAGTCACCTCAATGGCAGGGCTGCATAAGAAGCTGAAAAGTTCTTGACTTAGTGAAAGCACTGCTCAGCAACAACTGAAGCATCAGTGTGTTATCAACACTGGTTCCATCCTAAATCCAAAACACAACACTGCACCAGCTACTAGGAAGAAAATTACCTCCATCCCAAGTGAAACCAGGAAATACTGCATGAAGGGAGATTCTACCTTGTCATTTTCTTCCTTATCAAAATAATAAAACCAGGATGAGTTTGACCTGTCCAAATCTGTTTATTTGTGTCCAAAGATGCCCATCAAGCTTTCCTCTTAACTGCTGGAATTTATTCCCATGAAAGTTGACCTGTATAACACTCTTGCACTGAAATTATAGTATAAGCGCTTCATATAGTTGCACAGACTTCTACACTTCAGGTCAATAAGCAAAACCATTCATTCAATCAACTATATCAGTTCATGAGTTTAATTAACCACAGAGGTTTCAATCTGTCACACCAGTGCAGGTGTAGCTACATTATGTAGAAGATAATGAGAAACAAAGTTCAATGGAGAAAGACATACTGCAGGGAAACAGCAAAATCAAGCAATTAGCAAGCAGCTCAGTGTTTTAGAAGGAAAAAAAAAAAAAAAGAGGAAAAAAAAACCAACAAAAAAAAACCCAACAGACCATAAGACCAGTCTTTGGAAATCAGTTAACACAGGGAAGTCAGGAAGACTGTTTTTTACAATGGTGGCAGATTACAAAACAGATTTGGTATGAGCTGTGGAGAGCCAAGGAGAACACAAGGAATGCACTGGAAAAGGAGGGAGAAAGGCAGAAGAGTAAACCATGTTTAAATAAAAGTGATGACTTGGGGAGGTCAAATCTGAGAAGGACTGTGAAAACAGGATTTCTTTAAAAGACAAATATTTAGTGGAGAGCTTAGGGATTGGCAAAGCATTTCTCTTCTTGTACCAAATAAAAATACCCACCAGGATCTGGACAATGCAAAAATCATAGGCGTAGTTTTTACAGAGTCCTCAGACAAGCACATGGACATTATGAATCAGTCCCTCCAGGACAAAAGAAGAAATACATTTTGCAAGACATGATCTGCCTTAAGGGAAAGCTCAGGTTTCTAAATCCTTAGAGCTAAGATGATAAACTGATGAAGTCCATTCTTAAGGGTGGACTAAGATGGGCTCATTTAATCAACAAAAAAGACTGCCAATCTTACCATACACCAGAAGGAAAATAGCTTTAGGCCAAAAAGTGCATGAAGAATGCAGGAAGAAAAATACTCCAGCTCATTTATTACTGATACAAAAGGGCATAGTCACAGAGGAAGTAAGACAGACAAAAAAAAAGCTTCAATTCTTAAAAAAAAAAAAAAAAAACACCACCACAAAAAAATCAAACACAGATGCATTATTTTGCAGGCACTGACTCAAAAGATGACCCAGTATGCTCCTACTCATTAGAGTTAATTATCTATGAAACACTCAACTCCTGCCAACCACAGAGCAACCTTCCTTCCCAACACCACCCACTCGTGCCTCTCCGCAGCAGCTCTGCAGGCCTGCTGTGTTTTCTGAGTAAAGATGACAAATGCAGCTCACCAGCTTACAGACATGCAGCAAAGGTGCTCTTAGAGTGGGAAAGAACCTTCATCACTGCACAGGAGCCAGTGGTCTCCCAGGTCTTCCTTCCTATTTCAACCCTCACCACAGTCATATATCAGACCCCCAGCCCCATCAAGGGCCTTGTCTTGCTACGTGGCAGAATGGAGCATGTGCCTATTATCTGACCCAGTATAGGAAGGGTCAGACAGTTAGGAGAAGAAGAAAGCTCAGCCAGAGAAGCCCAAAAATAAGTTAACATTCCAGAGGCTGTTCATGAAAAAAGTCCAGATATGAAGCTAGCATAATGGTCACTTCTGTACAGAGACTTGCAGATGAAAACAAGATCTTGAACAAAATGAAATTTGCAAGGAAAGAAGTATTTAAGGTCTTAGAACAAAAGAAAAACCAGTCAATGTTTCAGATATACAAAAACAAACACCCAACATCAGAAGACTGCGTGATTCTTCCACAGTATATACTATCTGTTCTAATAACTGAAATATGTTGTCATAAAAACCCATTTTTCTTCACTACACCCCTCATCTACTACAGTTACAACACTACTGCCCACTACATATGAGAGTACACATGAGAGTAAAATGTGTTTCCTACCATGACTATACATAGTACATTCCTTACTAGATCTGTTTTTCAGGTCATTCTTAAAAAGGTAACTTACATCACTCTGTGTTTTGCTGATATTTAAAGCATGGTTTAAATGCAGCAGGTTTGGTAGATCAGATGCTGGATCATGTAGGCTTTCCAAATCCTTCTTGTAGTTCACCTGGAAAGAAAATTCAGGTTATGCAAACTAAAGATTAATAAAATAATTCACAGCTCTGTATTACAGTGTGACCATTCAAAAAGAGAAAACATTAAGTGCTTGCCTGAACAATCTCTCCCAGCCACTAGATGGTGGTCATCTACTATTATTTCAAAGAAAAGGAAAGAACAATATAGGACTCATTCTGCTAAGTACTTAGGAACTACTCAAACTTTTCCTCCAAGCAAGGACACTTACAACAAAATCACACTTTGTATCACTTTTCAGACTAGAATTAATTTTCTTCTTTTTTCCTCTCCCCTCCCTTCCCACCTCCTACTTAAATCAAGAGTATCTTCCTCAATAATTCAGGTCTATTCATTTTAAACACCTTCTTCTTATTCTTTTTCCTCAGCTTCAGGAATCACACCATGCAATTTAGAAGTTTGATATATGGCAGTTAAAGGTACGTGCTCCGGGATATTTTATCCAATATAGATTGCTTGCAGCAAATATAAACAATATGGTGACCTACGACAAAAGAAAATCACTTAATGAAGCAGCAGAAAGTAACTTCCCTTCAGCCTAAAGAAGGATTTACCATTCTTTTGAGACCTGTATGCCCAACTTTACAGGAAGAAAACTAGCTACCTTACCTATCTTGGATGAGAGATCTCTCAAACTAATACCTTTAGTCATTTCCACATATGCATCATATTCCTCGCTTCCATTTGCCCATTTCTTATAATAATAACTGCTTCAACTGATTTTTTACTGCACATTTGCATTTTGGAAACAATTACAAAATCTTCTGTACCCTTCTCAGAGCCAGTCTTTCCTGTTCCCATTGCATGGTACCTCACACTTCAGAAATGCTGGACTACAAAATGAAGACTTGTCTTTTGGCTATCTGGGATCACAGCCCCAAAGAGATCACATTTTTTGCATTAAACACACTTTTAAATATATCATCCCAATAGCATCATCACTCGATACAGATGTTTTCTCCAGTCTGGCTCCAGCAGCAGCCACCCGTTGCTGAACCTAGTGACTGCTGTGTTTTGTAATACCATTGAGAAGATCAACCAGATGAATGAAGTCTAAAAGACAGATCTGAACTGCTCATGTAACCTCCTTCTATAACCATTGGAGAGATGACAGTACTTGGCTTCTCTAAAGACTGGCACCTCTTAACAGGTGAGAAGAATTGACCTCTAGACCTGTTTATTTCTTTCCTGAATAAAAATGGACCAAGTACAAGGCAATTAACTCAGAGTAAGAGGTCACACCTTTTGACACACAAAATTAAGCGAGACGAATCTCATCTAAAATGGTTATGAAAAACTCTTCAGGCCCTCTGTCAGAAGCAGAGGAAGAAATTGATAACATGCTGTACCTGCTACACATTGTATAGCAGAGACTGTAGCTCAGAGGAATTCATAAGATGAAAAAAAGAAATTCTACTTGTGAACAAATGTTAGGTTATTCAGGATGTAAATGCAAGTAAAATACAAAGCCGATTAACTTACATCACTTGCCAAGGTGGATGCAACCTGTGCTTGCTTGAAGGAAGCACTGTCAAGAGGATTGTACTGGTGACTCTTCATTTCCTTACTGAACTTCTCTTTGTATTTCACCTTTCACCAGAACAAACATGCCTAATATTAACAAGTAGCACTTTAAAAATGCAGAGAATTCAGATTACAAAGAAGCTTATTAAACGTAACTACTTTATTCATAAATCTTTAAATAAAGTTTAAAAAGAAACTCAGTTTACCCACACCTGGGACAGTCTTGTGTTGGTTTCAAAGTAAGTTTTATGTATCTGAGTTTTACTAAAATTTTAAGATTGTCATATGTGATTACTGGTGCTGAAGGACTTAGGAAAACACAAACAAGACCATATGGCTCACATGAATAATCAAATAAAACAGAACTATTTGACCAGCAATAACAATTATCCACTAGGATTCATTCGATTCATAATTAACATCAAAATTGTGGTTTCAACAAAAAAAAATTCTAAGGTGAAAAAATTATAACATTTTTAAAACAAATCACTTGTAAATTTTTCAACCGCTTGAAAGTGGGAAGTCAGAATCCAACTTCCCACCACCAGGTCCATGTGTCATTCCCGTTATGCTAGAATGCCACCAGAACTGCCAGGTCTATTTTTAATTCTGCCAAAAATTTCCCAGAGGACACTGAGGAATCCCTCTGTAGTACAGTCCTTTCTTGGGGATAATGCTCACCTCATTACAGTGCTGGAAACAATAATTAAATTACTGACTGCCATCACTTTCATCATCTTTTTCTTCTCATTCAAAAGAAAAAGAGGGCAAGACAATACTTGTAAGAAAATGACAATACTTTTAAGAGGGAATGACAATACTTGTAAGCAATACATAAATATGGATACAATGGCACTAAAAGTAAGTCACAAAAATTCCATAAAACATGCTGAAAAACTGAATTCAGAAGCTGAAAACATGAAATTGAAGAAATAGTATATCTCCCTCCTTTGCTCCTTTTGTGAATGATCATCAAACATCTGGAGACTGCATACATGTCTGCTTCTTTCCAACAGCTGGGCATAATGGAGGAGAATAAAGTTCAGTCTGAATTACGCTGCTTTCATGAATTTTAGGCAGACACCTGATATCTGAGCCTATGCAACATCCATTATAATTTACCATGCTCTGCACTAAATAAATACATGGATTCTTCGCTACTCCTTTTTCTCTATTCCCACATGAATATCTGATAAAGTGGTTAAGCCACCTCAAACAATCTACAATTTTTTTTCTCAGCCTTAGTTGTGGGAAGAGGTTTTTTTTTTCCTTTTCATTCTTCCTTGCCTCAAAAGACCCTCAACATGATTCAGCTTATGCAACCTCATTATCTTTAGCCACAGTGTCCACTATTTCATTAATCAGGATAACAAGAAACCAAAACTAAGCCACACAAACAGGAACCAGCCATATATGTTCAAGCACTGCATTAATATTCCAGCACTTAGGTTAATTTTTCTAAGTAAGGGAATTCTAAAATTGTTACTTTTAAAGAGAAACTTTATATGAACACATGATGAACTTCATAATCTTTCCTATTAACAGTAGAAGAGAGTATCTATTGCCTTCTCGTATATTCATCTGGTTTATATTGTTTCATATTTGCCTTGGCATTGGATCAAGCGCAAAAGCATATATCTGATACAAAGACAAAGGCAAATCCACGCTCTGTGTGAGCAGTGAAGGAATAAATCAGAGTGCTTTTCTCTCTTAAAAGGTGTATCCAAAATTTGCCTTCTAATGAAAATCAGGCAGTGCTGTAATATGTCATTCAAAAAGCCAGAGATAAGACAGCAAGGTGAGCAAAACCGTCTTTTACTCCTTTACCCACATCACAACACCACCACGTGCAAGACTTTAAACATCCAACTACTGCAGGCTGCCTTCTCCTGGCAAATAAATGGCCACAAACAGTGCACACAGACCAAATGCACAACATGGTATTGAAATTCTTGATAAGTGGGAAAGTATTGGTGCCAAAGGGACCTCTCCTCACAACGGGCTTGCCGACTTCCAGTTGCAGTCATTTCAAAATTTTTTCAGCAGTGCATTTCAATCTAGAGGTTCCAGTACTAGGCCCTCTTTAGAGTCACTTCCGATCACACTGCTGCCACTGAAGGACAGAGGGTGGACCAGTAAACCCAGTCTTCATGGGGCCCCATGTCCTGATGTGCAGAAGGGTTCCAAAATTAAAGGAACCCCCCAGCCAAGATGAGCGTAAATGCTCTGGTTGCAGCAGGGCTGTCTCACAGCTCCAGGCCCTGCTGCCTGCCCTGGCTGCTCAGCTCATTGCTTTGCTCCCCTCCCCATCACACGAGTCACTCTGGGCAAAGCAGAGACACGCAGTAATAGCAGACAACCCTGGCAGCGTCTCCAGAGCACTTCCAGCAGCCATTTAACTGACCTGTCACTGGGGATTTGTTGCTTTGAAAGCTATGTAGATGTACACTTTCTCTTTTATCAATGTTTTTCTGGTTCTTTCTCCCTTTTGAAAGGAAGCGTGGGGTGGGAGAGAGTGAAGAAAGAAGAGCAAGCGCATGTATGAGTCATGGTGAAGGAAAGCACACAGTATTCATCATCCTTTTGAACAGGGTGAATGCAGTTTAAAGAGAGGAAACATGCCTGAGAGAAAGAGTTCTGAATAAAAACAAGGAAGAAAAATACCTCATATGATTTCTAAACCATCTGAAGGTCTTAGCAAGGCTATAATATGGTGAAAGAGCAAACAAGTGGAAGTAGAATTGACAGTTGTTAGTGGACACTTATCTACAAATTCATCATTAACCAAGAGCTTTACTTTAATGAGGGCTTAAAAGGACGGTTACTTGTTTACCATGTTCATTAAAGTCTTAAGTTTGTTTATTTTTTTTAGAGATTATATGGTGGGGGTTAATTTAAAAGAAATGTGTGGAGGTTGCTCTCTAAAGACTGCTTAAGAAAGAGCAGACTCTGCAGGCTTTTAACACAACAACATCCCTGAAAAACCAAACTGGAATTAAATAAGGCCTGGATAAACAAACTTCTCATCGGCCTTGCACAAAACCTATAAAAGTCAGAATTGCAGCTGGACAGAGCAGTGTCTTTTGAAGCTTAGCAGCAACATTCCTAAATCAAATCTGTAGTTCAAAGCTGTTCACACAGGGAGTGTTCAGTTTCAGAAGTGGATGACATCACCCACTGTTCAGATTTACAAAGAAACTACAAAAATTGAATCATTCAACCACTGGGATCCCATGATGAAGCAGACACTTGCAGCTAAAGCATTTCCTCATGACCATATGAAAACATCTTTAAAAAAGGAAAAAACCTGTCAGAGCACATAAAAATTGAAGGAAATGTAGCATAAACAAAGAGCAAAATTGAAACATTTATTGCTAAAAGCACTAGCAGAGTTTAAAGCAAAGAAAGATTGAGAAAATCCTAGGGTTCTTACTGAAAATCTGAGAGAAGGTGCATTTTGAAAAACGTGCTAACTCTAACAGTTTTATCCCTAAAATAATAAGCACCAGATTCAGCAACAAATATGAATATCCAAAATTATTTACCTTAAAACCACTTACTGAACACCATAAGAGGAATATTTCGTATCAGCAGCTCTTTGAGAAAGCTAATAAAATGCATTAAAAACATAAAGAGGGCATGAGCAAGAGCTTGTTTTAATTTAAAAAAATAGAAAAATTAACCCAAATTATACAATGCACACTCGGCAAATTGACAAGCTCCATGTTTTCACAAGGGCTAACACAGTTTCTGTTTTAAATTTCATTTAAAATCAACAGAAAAGAGTTACCACATGCTGTGGGTAAATATAATAGTTCTGGGAGCTATTATTTTTGCTGCTGTTGTTGTCAAAAGCTTTGTTAAATAAAAAATTAAAAAGGAAACAACGGAGAGAGAGAGGAAACAGTGATTTCTGCAGAGCCTTGAGTGCCAGTCAAACATTAACACTATTTTCTTCACTTTGTTTGCTTTCCTGCTTGCCTTGATTGCTTTCTCCCTTCGTTACACCCACACTGCCTGACCTCTTCTTGCTCCTGTTCTCTATACTCCCTAAATTACCTACCCATATGCACCACATTAAAACATGTTATCATCTTCTCTTCCCATTACATCCATCAGAATTGTCAACTTTACAAATTTACTGTGAGGGTCAAATAACTAATATTTCTCTGCATGTCACAGCTTATAGATTCATGCAATTAAGGGAGATTATCAACTTTCAACACAAAAAGTTTATGATCTTCCCATTTTCTGAGAAACAAATGGAAACTCTAAAAGCCAGAAAGTCTGGAGACAATAAAGAGATCATTAACTTTACTCTTTTTTAAATCTTGTAAGTGTTACAAGCCTGTATCATGATCCTTGCATGAAGAGGACTGACACGACTGACCCATATTTAGGCCTCTTTCTCTCCTCTAGCACAGGTGCATTCCTCATCCTGCCCCATCACCCTGCTCTTTGGACACAGGGGTCATCTTCATTTTTCTGTGCTCTTGATTTATGATTAGTGTGTCCAAGTGTTATAATGATTCAAATAATATATAAGAACATTAGACAACTCAGGGCCACTGCCTTCCCTTCAGAGGACATGGGGGAATTGCTGAGTGCTGCCCAGCCCTTGCACCCTCCACGCTGCTGCAGGCTGAGTGTCAGGCTGAGGCACTGCCCCCTCTTCAGAAAGCACAGTCCCCATCATACACACTGCAAAGCACCACAGCAGCTTAGACTGAGGAGAGCACAGGGCAAGAAAGGATCCCAAAACTTGGATCCAGGGCCAGTGACTGCAGAGTTCAGACCACCAAGGTTTAGTAAGAATCTTCTTTACAAGTAAACCAAACACAATATAGATTTTGTCAACTTCTCCCTTCCTGTCACACCTTCTACACTATTTGGACTCTCTAAAGAAGTTAAAATTGCACAGTGAATGCTGCCTTCCACAGAAGGATCTCAACTAGAACTGCTGCCATCCCAGTTCCTGGCAGTGAAGAGGCCCTATTATAAAGCATTTGCAGATGCAGCTTGCATTGTCCAAGATAAAAAAGCACATCTAATAAAAACGAGATAAAAAGTGCATTGATGAAGCCTTCCACGTAGCTGGCTCATCAGCCTGCAGGACCCCATGATCCAGCTGATATTTTTCACTTGTGATTGTTGGCCACAAACTCATGGGTAGCAGGCTTGGGAAGATGGAGAGGGCTATTGGAAAGGGTTACAGCTTGGTCCCGTTGGCAGAAACAGGCAGCTGCAAGCTCACAGGAGTGAGCTGCAAAGACAGGAGTGTGTAGGCAGCCATTGAGTAGATATAAAGGACACTACACACTATATTTGGATATGGACCCTTTGAAAAACCACTGAACATGTTAGCTAAATTACAGTCCCATTTCCTGTAAGTGACACTCAGGTCTGAGCAGCACCACAGTGGCTCTTGCTAGAAAGAACAGGCTGACTTCCAAGCCTGCACAATGCTAAACACAAAATAATCTCTTAGCAGACTTGCCCATCAGCAGAAAAATGAGAATATGATCCACTATAAAACAGAAGACAGAAATCTATCTGAAAAACACAAACCCATTTTGATTCTGAGCACATCACTAACAAAGCAATAAAAAATATGTATTTTCTTCTTTATCTCCTTGTGTAATGCTTCAAAGTTTACAATGGTGTGAATGCAGCACGTATCTAAGGACAATAGCAAAAGAAGCTCCACCTCCTGAAGACACTGCAGTTTTTCAGCTTGCTCTCTATGACACATTATTCTCATTTTATGCTAGTTCTAGGGAAGATATTTAGTATCTGGCCAAATCACACGTATTTTTTACATATCACTAATATTGAGTCTGTCGTAGAATATACACTACACTTGAGAGGTTTTTTGGCTCTGGGAAGGCTGACACAGCCTTCTTCAATCAAAGGGCACTATCCTCCTCTTACAGGAGGGCAATTTCTGGGTTTTCAAAAGCTCCAAGTGTAGCTGGACAGGATTACTAGCAAGGATTATGCAAGGCACTGTTAAAGAACTACTTCAGACAAAAAAAAGGGTGAGAAACTTTTTAAAAAACCAAAAAAAGAGATCAGCAGTGAAAAATCTGTTCTCACAATGTCAAGACGATCTGTAGTAGAGTCTCATGTGTACATGTTATGAGTAGAAAACTACTAAAAGAAAGAGGGAATATTTCTATTTCAGATTTCTTTTTAGTTAAGGACTTTTTTTTTTTTAGGTTAATATATAACAGTAGTACATAAGAGGTTCAGTTTCAGGGGGAAGGAAGGCGGTTGGTTTACATGTCAGGCCAAATTCAGATCCCATTACTCACATTAGCAAGCAGCTACACAAAAGACCTCAGTTACTTCAGTGGGATTAATCATAGGGTAAGGTTCCACTCAAACTGAATGAGGAGCAAAATTTGCCTCTAAATTACATACAGTTAATATTTTAGAAATCCTAGAAAATCTGTATAAATATACACCATCTCCACAAGAGACAAGTTGTAGTCAAAGTTCATAGTATTTTTGCTTCAAAATGTGTATTTGATTTCCTAAGAATCCAAAATTTACCAGTCATTGCAATGCTAAATGAAAAGTTTGAGAACATAATCTTCATGGCCATTAGAGATAATCATCTAAAAATCTAAGTATTTCTTTGCATTACCAGGAATGAAATATTTGGATTAAATCATTGTAAAATGATGGAGAATCTTACTTGGCTTAAAAGTTTTGAAACTCCTTTAGCATGTTCAAAATCAGGTCTTCCAAGCACAGCAGACTCCTTATTTAGCTCTCCCCTTCCTTTCTTGTACTTTGCCTTAAAAATTAAAAAAAAAAAAAAGGGAGGGGGGGATATTTATCACTTATAAATTGTTTTGAGTTTGTTTTATCAAGAGAAATGTAAGCATTTCTCTTGATAAAATTAGTAGAAAAAGTCTCACATAATGGTCTGCATTGACACAACTGTTCCAATCAGCTCTGAATAAAGCCCTTCTCAGAGTTCAGCTCCTTAACAATACAATATTTATTAATTGTACAACACAATGTGCAGCATTCACAAAATTCAATTTTAACTAAATGCACAGCTTAAGCCAGAGAAATACCGTCCTCCCGATCAAGGCAGAATGAGTCACAGTGGCTCAGCATTTCTTATGACAGGGTCTACAGTTAACCCAAGATGATTTGCAGCAGCTGAAAGTAGTCTTGAAATAAAACTAGTCTGAGGGGCAACTTTTTTGAACGGTAAGGTCAAATTCCACTCTCAGTTTCAGCACTGCGGTCTCGCTGGGTGTCAGTGAGACTGCGCTGGTGTCACAGAGCTGATTTAGTCCCGCAAGGTTAATGTCACCTTATCTCTCCAGCTGAACTGCCTCCCATGCAAACTGCTGCCATTTTTTCCCACAATGCATTAGAGGAAAACACAGATGAATCAACAATAGGTGCTTTGAAGCAAAGCAAACTAAATTACCCTTTGCCTAAAACAGGCTTCTTGTATTACTCAAGCACTGTGTATCAGCAAGGACACGTCATAAGAATAGACTGAAAGAAATAAAAGTCCCAAAGCCACTCTAAGAGCATTTGAACAGCAATTAGTAAATTTGCATGCTGAGCATAACACTTAGTAGAAGTTCTTGGTTTTCAAAAAATCCTGAATATTGAAAGGTGAATTTCATTCTCTTAAATCTGTCTCTCTGAATGTGTCTAGTCAGTCTCACATTTAATTAATTACTTAAAAACTTGACTCTGGGCTTTAAGTATGTATATTGTTTGACTTGTCTACAATAAAATACTGAACTGCATCACACACTTCTGCTTCTCAAACTGCTCCTTCACCTGTCTGTTACCCGAGGTCACAGTGGAAGGGCAAAGAATTTGAGAGGGGAATTCAGGGAGGAGAATCCCTTTGAAAGAAGGAGCATCTGCATAGCTCTTGGAAGGACAGCAGGGAATTACATTTTCCTGTCACTGCTGGCTGAGATGAGAAAAGGAAGGGGTATCCTGGGATGCCAGCTTCTCTCATACCACGGTAAAAAATGGTTTGGGATGTCTTCTGAAGTGCAGCATAGCATACAAGCACATGACTTATCTTGAGAATGGTTATCACAAATAAAGCTGAAACAAAACCAACTTTAACAATTTTCATGTTGTCCTTACATCAATTACCAATAATTTCAAAGATCATACTGTCAACATATAAAAAGGAGAAACCCACAGCTTTCTGGCCTGCCAGGCAAGATGGGTTTGTTTTGGTTATGTTTGGATTTCTTTTAATCAAATCTCCCTAGCAGATTTGGGGGTGCAGGTTTTCTGTTCAAAACATTTGAGAATTCCAGCAGCATTCTAAAAAAATCTGATCTAAATTGGAATTAAAAAATTACATGTCTAAAAAATAGAAAGAGAGTAAAAAGAGAACATACATCACTTATTATCTTTGTTATCTCAGTTGCCTTTTTTATGTCTGGTCTGTTCAGCACTTCGGTGTACCTATGAGTATCTTGCACATCCTTCTTATAGGATACCTGTCAAAGAAAACATAGCTTTGTTTAAAATAAATAATAAAGTTTGAAGTCTATAAATAAGCTTTGAATGACCAATCAAATCAGACATCAAACTAAATAGAACTCCACCTAATTTATTCCAACAGTGTTCTGCTTGACAGAGATTGTAAGGTAAGACCCACACACAAGGTAACACGATAAGGAAGAAATTCAGAAGCATAAAATATAATTTGAAAAAGAAAAATTATTTTGCTTGGAAGCACAGTGGAAAATTAAAGCATTGCAAAGACACAAATATTAGGTTTTACCATAAAATTTCAGAGGACTTTTAAGAGTATAGTTTTTGTTCCTGTGTTGTACCCATTTTTAATATAAACTAGCTCCTGCTCTGATACTGAGTACTGCAGCTTAGCAGATTGCAGGTATACTGAAGAGAAACTGTAATTCTATCATAGTGAGTTTCTTTCTCAGTACTAGACAGACATGTAGCTTGTACGTAATTCAATGATACAGCTCCACCTCAGCATCCCCACAATGCCGCTTGCTCCTTTGCACAATCATGGGAACAAGAAGGCTGAGGGTTCCAGCACGTGGAGTACACAGCTGACCCTTTCTGTTTGTGCAAAAGCCACTTCCATAATGAACAGGCTCAGAAACCCTTGGTCAGAAGGCTCAACCACAGATAGGAGAGCCCAAACATTCTCCATTTAGCAAAGCAATCACAGAAGGAGCATAGACCTCAGGGACATTATAGACTCCGTAAGTTATCCAGCTTTTCCTTCTTTGTGGTTTGTCAACTTTTTCCTGCTCTAGCACATGTGTCAATCTAAGCCAATTTCCAAGGGCTGTCTTATTGAATTATTCTTAATGACATGCTGTCCCTGTGTCAGACACAAAAGTGTCTGACAAATTGAAGTTTCAGGCAGAAGTTGGGGAACATAAAATAAAGTTTAGAGGAAATAGAAAGTAAAAGAATATTTAATCCTTTACTAGTAAATCTTTTATATTTTCTTTTGTTGCTTCACAGGGTTAATCAATCTCTCAAGATAGTATTTCACCAGCAAGAAAGTTCTCAGACTGAAGTTTCTCATTATAACCTCTGCTCCTATCTCCAATGTAAAGCTTCACTCTGGGTACAATGCAACCAACTCAAACTGCAGCAGTCAGTGACAAATACTTCATAGAAATGGTATTGAAAAAAGAAAAGGAAAAAAATCACTTTTTGGCAAATTTTTACATGCAACAGGAAAGTAATTTTCTGTCCATATGGCTTCAGCTAAGCAGACAAGCTAAACAGACTTCACTGTTGGCTGCCTGCCCACAAATAGATCTTATAATTTTTAATCTTCCGTGACACACAAGTGTAATCACTAATAAAAGAAACAAATAAATAGGTTTGATGCATTCAGCCCAAATTATCACATACGTACAAAACAAAAGTTGATTCTTACAGCTGGTGTAAACCACTGGAACTTTTGTTTTAGTTATGTTTAGATTTTCTCTATTTTTTAAGAAACTATAGAGGTAGAGAGAAGCATTTGCAATTCAGGACTTTACATGAATTTAGTTAATTATATGCTGTTCATCCTAATGACCACATGAGGTGAGGTGAAAACCACAAAGGCAGCAGAAACAGGTTTCTGAATAGCACCCTATGATCCATGTAAATTGCAAATTAAGGGCCAGCATATGTGCTCAAAATAGAAATTAGGAATGTAGTGAATTTAACATCAGAGAATCAAGAACAGTGGTGATAAAGTTGAGGAAATGTGGTCACTTATTGCTCCCAAATGACATGATCATATAGTACATGAAATAATGGATTGTGGTTAATTTCAGGGAAAGGAAGGGGGGGAGAAATAAGACAGTGACAGTCCTTTATATTTCTCCATTTTCAATTATATTAGATGCAAGGCCAATTGCTATATCTTTCCCTGAGTGAATTATTATTCTTCCTGCACGTAAACCAGTATACCTATTACTTATGTCTGAGGGAAAGTCATCTAGCATTTTACAAATGTCTGCAATATATATTTGCTCCATTCTGCAGCTTGTCATACTCCAGTGAGAATAAAAATGTTATGCAGCAGAACAGTAGTTTGTCAGAGGTAGGCCAAAGAAAGAAAAAATATGTTTCCCATTTCCTGAATAACCTCAATCCCTGGATGCTGACCCTCTCCCATTGGGACACTCTGCTGGCCTCTATTACACAGCTGCTATTCTGTTCCATCTAGTGATTTTTTTTTTTAATAGTGCTAGGTTAGAACAGTAAAACCAGAGCTATTCTGAGAGAGCAGGGGAACAGATGTACACAGGGAAAAGCAACTGGCTTGGTGTGTGCACCCATGGGCATCAGAAGATGGAAAGTGAAGAAAGCCCATGATGGGGGGAAAAGCAACAAAAGAAAGGAAGCAGCAGAAGCACCCAGAGAAGGAGCCACCTTTTGTCCTGGCTGGTTCAGCCAAGAGGCTCATACCCTGACTGGAACTTCCAGGCATTACACAATGTCCTTACTCAAACTTAATTTCAAAGGGTCGCTCAGGCTCTAACAAAAAAACAATCAGCAAAAGCTCAAGAATTGCTCCACTTCATAAGGACCGCTGCATACACAAAAATTGTTTCAGCTGACTTTTGCATAGAAAAAGTAACTGAGATAACAATTTTAGAGCAGCAGTGAAAGACCTAGATGGAGAGTTATGGCTGACCAGTGGGAAATGCAAGCGAGGAAGAGAGAGCAACTAAGAGGGGAAAAAAATGTACCATCTTGAGTTTTGAAGCTGAAAACAGTAAATTACAGATACCAATTAAATTTAAAATGGGTTTCTACCCAGTTTGAAATTACAATAAAAAAAGGTTACATTGTTGAATATTATTATGACGCAATAATTGGAACAAAATAATTTCTCACCTTTAATCCTAAATGTGATTACATACTCTGAATTGCAACTGGTTTTTGCAAAGCATGGAGAATATTCAGGGCCTGCTCATAATCACTAGACTGATTTTAATAGGCCAAACCTCGAGCTCTTATAAAATGCGTAAGGTCCACTGAGGAGAAGCATACTGATCTAGTTACTCCAGCAGGGTCTGCAAGATTCTTCACCTTACATCAATACCAGTGGAATGCACTTTAGTGCCATAAAGTAAACAGATTTTTAACAATGCTGCAAGACATCTCAGACTGTCAATCAACAAACAGAAACTTCTACATCGTGAGCCAAGCAAACCTGGGTTTAAGAGATTCAGACCTTTCTTGAAATATTTTATTTTCTCATTTATTCCAATACCAAACTAGTCCAAAACAATACATAATAAATTACTCAAATATGCACAAGCAGCTATGAACACATTTTGCGCTCTTAAGGATTCAGCAAGAAGTTGGGTACACCTGTCTGCACAAGAATTTGTCTCTTACTGTTTGTCCCTGATCAGTATTTTCTAAGAGCTGTTAAGTTCACTAACTAATGGCCTGTCAGCTGTGTCTCTGCCCTCTTTCCTCTCATCTACACTTCGGGGTCCATCAACACTAAGAAAATGACTAGCTGGTGACAATCATCATTGGCAACAGCTTTTCTAATTCCTGCTCAAATGATGTTGAAAACTGTTTTCCGGCTTGTGTAAAAGAGACAAACACATTTCTGGCCCATTACAGATTGATGCAGTCATCCTTTCCAGTAATGGGCCTTAAAATTGATTGGCCCCAATTACACCAGGAGTAAACATCATTTTCAGCACCAGTTGCAAGTGGTCCAGGGGGACCTGCTGTTGACAACCACTGTCAGCAGAAAGTTAGTCAGCAAATGGTCATTTTTCTAACACAGATACTGAACAGAGAAACAGGACAAGCCTGAATTTACCATGATCCGCACCAAAACAAACATTAACACTTGGGTATGTTACTGATGGTGTTTAAGCACATCCACTTTAAGATCTGCTGATTTGGTCTTATCAGAAAGAATGTAGTTTTTTTGTGTGTGGGGATTGTGACTGCACTATACCCTGAAAATGAAAAACAACTTACTCCTAAGAAAATATAGACATCTTAAATATTCAAATTTAGATGGTGAGTGAAACATATAAATTATCATTACCGACCTCATGTGGAATGGAAAGTGTATATATACACATCAGAAGTTTGCCCAGCTGCCAACTAATATTTCTAAAAAAGCACTCTTTGTAGATAAGTATAAGAGAAAAGATACCAGGGCTTTAAAATCAGATGTGCAAACTGCCTTTTCAACGTCCATAGATGAGTGTACTGCAGTTTTCTTATTTGCAAAATCAGAAGATCAGATCCTTATTTCATACCATGTAATGCTGTGAGGAGAATCAGTCCTTTTAATGAAGCAGAACATTTAAACTGCTGTGCAAACATTTAACATGGTTTTCCTGTTCAAAATGCCCAGTGATGGACCAGGTCATGAAACAGACAAAATTATGACACACAGCTTTGAATACTTTCATCAAATGCTATGTGCAGCTTCCACAGAGACACAACATAGCAGGTGGTTCCTTTGCTTTAGACATTTAGATGTCATGTCATTTCACTATTCAACTACATTATTCCATTCAAATGATACTCAGATACATATAAGGAAAAATGTGACATGATATTGTTTTAAGACCACCACTTAGTTTCGATCCCAAGTTTGGAAACTTCCTGATGAGTTAACTGATCAGCTAAGCACAGACAAAGTAGGCTGATGGTCCCTACTTTGTTCTTCTGAATATGACTTTGTGTGCCAAAGTCACGTCATTAACATTCACTTCACAAAACACAAACACAATTTATAGAGAAAAGTACTCTGGTTTGGATAAACATGCTTCCTTTCAAGCATTATGTAGTATTTCAATTCTTTTTAAAGTATATTTTCTGTCATTAGAAAAGTTACTTGTGTTCATTTGAGAGCAATTTTCTTCAGTCTAAGTAAAAAAAAAAGGAGAAAAATTATTTTATTAGACATGACCACATTGTTCAGGAGTTTTTACAGTATTTCCCTGTTACCCAGTTTCTGCCCAAACATATTAATGATGCCCATTAACATGCCCAGAATGTTAATGATATTCAAAGTGGTGTGAAGGCCTACAGCACACAAGAGTTTCAAAATGTCAACACAAATGTATGGTGAGCTAATACAGTTTTAATTTTTAAAGAAAATTGCACATTTCACAAAGCTGAGCAAAAATGTCAGCTGTATTTTAAGGCTGAGTAAATACTCTTAAACACATCCTAATCCTCTTAGATGCAAACCCTCCATGCAAAGGTTGAATTGAGTTGGCAGAGCATTGTAGGTAAATGTGCATTCTGCTCCCACCGGTAAACTGTACTGAATGGTGGATAAAATAGCTTTGTCGTTCTACCTGCTCAATAGTTTCCCTTCTTTTTCTCTGCACTTTCAAAGCTGTGATTACACAGATACCCTGAAATAGTCTGGAAAGACAAATGCTCCATATTTGGGATGCTCCCTGTTCCATGTTCTGACTCCAAGATGAAAAATCACATGGTTTTTAATTAAACCTGTACTTACAAAAGAAGAAATCCTCAGCTATTCACCATGATGCCCAAATATTACCCACAAGAGATGTGTGCTTCTTGTGAGCAATAACCAGACTTGCATAACTTGCTCCTTTTTGTGTGATAGATATTTGTCTGTTGTGCTCCAGCTGCTCATGAGCAACCAGAAAGAATCTGTTCTTAAACACATTAAACTAACTGGTTAGAGTTTTGTGTTGCATAAGAATGACTTATTTGATTTTTTGAAGTTTGCTCAGGCTGAAAATAATTTCCCTCATATTTTTTCATTATTTCTAACATGCTGTTAAAAGTTCTCATTTATCAAAACATCCTTCCCTCCCATGTTTTCCCTCATTTCCTTTTTTTTTTTTTTTTTTTGCTTGTTTTAAGGGTGAAAGATGAAACAGCTGAATTTCATTTATCCTCACATGTGTAACCTGCTCTCCTTAATTCTATTAGCAGGTGATACACAGCTGTAGAAGGGGAATAGCTTTTGCACTAGCATACTAACCCTCAAACTATGAGGAATTTGCTACAGGAACTTGTCTCATATTCCTCCTAGTCCCTTCTCTGAGAGGGACTCACATTTCTCTTTCCAGCATTATTTCCTTTCCTAGCAGTTCACCATCATTCCTACTGCTAGGTAAATAAAAAACCTCTTGCTTCTGGGCAGAGGCATTCACATTCCCAGCTCCTAGGCTCTGTCATCGTGACACCCTGATGCTTCCAACAGCAGAAACGGACAGTGTTTGACAGGAAGAGGGAATTCTGTAATCAAGGCAGGTTGCAAATTACTGCTGGGAATTCCATTGCAGGTATTTCCCAGCAGAAGAAAAAATTATTCTTCAAACATAATGCTTCCCTGAAGTTTTCCAGCAGCCTTTTAATCAGCAGCCAGCTGTCAAGATTCTGCACACAGACATACATCTAGCACTGACATTTAGATTTCAACCCACATAACCTTAGAGTGTTTGTTGCACTGTTAATAGGAGAAGATGGGGTAAATTTAAGATAATTTAAAATGAACACCCAAGCTATGTTTTCTACATTGTTAGCAGAAAACAAATATCCCATTTATCTAACAGAAAAGTGTTATAAAATGATATGCCTACCTCAATTGATTTGGTTACCTAAACAAGAATGGAACGGGATAATAACTTTTAAGGTTACACATCAGCTGTTCTTAAAAGCTTTGTGTACCCATTAAAATGGCATCACAATTTCAACCAATCTTCTCCTAAAATTTCTTTTTCTCACAAGTAAGCTTTTACAAAACCTAAAGCTAACACAAATTTTTCTTCAAAGTTGTGTCTGTATCATTCAATACTCTAATCTGGGCAGCATTTCTGCCCCAAGCAATGATGCATTGAGCTAGTATTTGCTAGCTTGACCATGAAATCAAACCTGACCTGATTCTAACAAGAAATATAAATACCATTATTAGGCTTTTATATTGTGAAAACCTTCAGAACTTCAAGAAGCTAACAAGCAGCTGAAAAAAAAAAGCAATCAACTTTCAAAATATTGCTAAATACTCCTAGTTATTTGTAAGTTATCTAAATAAAACTACAAGAACAAATAATTTGGTCAAATGGTATAAACCAGCGCAGGCATCAAACTCAACACCACAGCTCAAATTCTGTAAAATAAATAATTTATTAGTCTATTAAATTCTTTGGAAAATTCACTTGATACATATTCAGGAGACAGGAACAAACATTCATATGCATAAAAATGTGCAAGAGCAGTGCAGAAACAGCTCACTTGTCTCCTCTACACAGCACCCTGAAGAACTACTCAAGTATTGGTAGATGAAGACACTGAAACAAAACTGATGTTCATTTAAACAAAGAACTTTATACACTTTTAAAGGAGCTACAAGTGAATTCAGAAAAACTGTGTCTGCAATTTTATTTCAAAGTGATAGTACTCAGTTACTACTGATAAATAATAACTATCATTTTCCACTCCATTCAGAATAAAACTCACATACTGTTACTCATGGCATATTTTATACAAACACCATGTCCTAAATTACTTCAGAGCAAATAATTTATAAAAAACAGCAATTAAGGGACTATGGAAATATTGCATGCCCAATTCATTTCAGTAAGCTGTAACAGATATATCTACCCAAAACAAGCAGACTCATTTTAGACGGGGGAGTACTTACATCACTCTGGTGTTTACTGACTTCCATGGCATGTTTAACATCTGGAGGTTCCCTCATACGTGCATAGTCTGAAAATCCTTTCTCAGCATCATGTTTTTGTTTATAGAGAACCTGAAAAGAGCAACATTATACTTTTGTGACCTGAGAAGAGCAGGTATAATAACACGAGCTAGGTTAAACCTAGTGGCATAGTCTACCTGAAATGAGTCTACACTAAAATGAGAGCAGCTTCCACCCAAAACAGGCAGCAGCGAGATTTCTCTGCATATGTTACTGCAACAGATGCATGAGTAGACAGGGAAAAGAAATAGTACTACATAAACACAGAAAATTAAGCTTAACAAGTGAGAAGACAGCCCAGGGAAAACCTAATCAAAAGCTACATTTTTTTTTTTTAAACACACTAGACGCAATCAGTTATATAATTATTCTCCATTTTCATAGAAAAAATATTTTATACATTTGTCATAAACAAACAGTTTCACTGTTTATTATATGCCCATTGCCCAAAGTTCTATGTCTTCCACTGCTGGAAAGCAACCAGCACAATATGCATTTTGACTTAGCCCCAGGTTCACAAAGAAAAATAATATTTACATTCAATTGTCATCATGGTAAATGAAAATGGAATTGAATTGTGAATTTATAAACACCTTTACTTTTATAATAGAACCGGAACTCACTGTTGGGCATTCATCCATCTTCCACTGTACTGTGTTATACTTACACACACACACACTCACATACTACAACTGCCTGAAAAGCTGATCCTACACTTATCCTTGACAGAAGCTCTTAGGCTTATATTAAGGAAAATTCACCAGGTTTTGATGTCTAAAAAGTAGCAAGCATCAAGAAAATTCATTCTCTAACAGCTCTCATGAGCAAGCATTAAAATAATCCATAAGAAAACAGCAAGTATTAAATAAGATAGAAAGCTGATTAGGAGGAGAAGGATTGACACAAAAACCCATGGCAGCAATAAAAGAATACTGTGAAAGTTTTGAGACGGAAACTCTCAAGTACAGAGATTCAGACTCTTTTAGGGCAGGATACTAGAATTGTGAGAAAATGCTATATCTGGTTTTGTTTAAAGCAAGATTTCATCTGAGTTACAGAGCAGGGTGCCCAAAGCAATATGTTAGTATCTGCCCTGACTATCTCAGATTACAAAATGATATACAGGCTGAGAGATTAAGACAAGAAGGGGGGAAGGGTATTTTTTCACTGCTACTATGTGAATAAAAGCACCAAATCAGGAACATTAAAATGTGCCACCTCCTCATCCAGTCTAACACAATCAGCCCTCTGCAGGAACAAAGACAACTGACAGTGAAACAGAGTCCATAACTTGCCTACACTGGTTACATCTTGCAAATGGAAAAGCACAATCTTTAACATGACTGAAGCACCACTAACAAATGATTCCCCACAAAAGGGGAATTACTATTCAAACATATGCCACAAAAACTCTTTTGCTAATGCTCCTTGCTTACACTGTCACTTTTAAGATGTTCCCCACTTAATGGCATTATGAACAGAAGACCCATATGGTTACTCCCAAAATCTACTAATTTACAGATATTTTATTACATTGCCATTTCGCTGGTTCAAGAGTTCTGTTTTTCCCTTGGTGACTGGGCTATGTAACCAAGATATGAAAACACAGTAACACATCAACTCTCAGCATGAGAAATTGAGCAGAAATTATGAGTATCCGCTGTCTTGGGAAAGGATGACCATTTCTTTAACTTAATGTAGCAATATTTTACTTGCTTTGGCATCTGTTCTTCCGATCTTTTCCCATTATTTTCATTAACTCACTGAAGTATCTTGTTGCAATCCTAGCTAGGAGGGGTTCAATGGCTGTCTAGTTTAGTTTGGAACAGTTTAGTGCAGAACTATTGCCAGATTTGTAAATCGCTTCCAAGTAAGCATGAAAAAATATTTATCATTATTTCATCAATATTCTTATAACGTTATTTTATAGGTTAGTATGCATACATTTATTTCTCAACTCATGTTGATTTTCAAGTTTTAGCTAAACTGAATTTCCTTAATCAAATCTACATATGAAACTACTCTACACAGAGATCAAGCATTATAGGTCACTGACATAACCTTTACCCTGTAGTGGTGCCATTTATTAACTTGAGAAATACAAGGCAATTATTTAAGTAGGTGTTACTTCAGATTGAACCAATTTGTAAGTACTCATTTTTTATTTTTTTCTCTCTTTTACACGAATGTGTCAATAGGAAGCTGCATCAAGGAAGGTTTTGTGTTCTTTTAACCCAGCTCTGACTGACCCCCTGTTTTGGCTCACATTAAACACTATTACATTTTTATTTCTATTTTCATTTATAGTCAGTAAGATGTGCTCTGAGCTTAATATCCATAAAGTAGGATTTCGTAGAAGGAAATGTTCAAGAACACCAAAACATCACTTTAATCTCCATACAGAGAATTAGATTATCCAATGTAATTGTGTAAAACAGAACTATGGAAGTCCAGAAGACTAATACCTGCCACCATAAAATAGAGGAAATCTTGAATATGACATTTCCTACCATAAAAAACCCTGAAAATTATATAAAACAATTTGATAATGTGTAGGGAAATTATGCAATAAACACCAAAATTTTTACTGTAGTAAAAAACCCCTCTGAAACTTCCTCTGGAAGTTGAAAACATTGTTTAAGATTGTCTTGGCTCATCACCTTTATAAAGAAACAGGAAATACTGTTCAACACTGACTCTTTGAGATATTGCCCTGTGCAAAGTAGAAAATTAAACTGCCTTCAGTTTGCCCTTTTAGATAAGAATAAAAACAGTGCAATCACTTCTTACGGCAGAAATAAAGTGATGAAAAAAGTGATGAAGTGCTTGGTTTTTTTCAACACTGTTTCCCCCAAACAATTTTAAATACCTTTATCATTGTTTGTGACACTGTATTAAGAAAAATATTGTTTTACATAAGGAAGTATTCAGCATACTGATCTTCAAACAAAAAAAAGATTTGGCACAGAGCTAGCAACGATCAGAAATTTTCCTTCAGCAGTATTTTCCACAGGAATACTGCAATTTCTCCAAAAATTTCCATTTCCTTTAAGAAAAATCAAAATAAAGGCTCCCTACCTAGACTGCTCTCGTCAAATTTATTTTCTCACTGCAAGAAGCAAGGAAATTGATGAGAGCTTTGTAGGCTGGTAAGGAGAGTCAAGTTATTCAGAGATGACAGGGGCTTCTCCTCTTTTTAGCATACCCTGGGGACAACTATGACAAAAGTGAGAGGGAGGAAATCTGGTTGCTCACTCTCAACAAAGGCATTTAGAAGGCCACAGTCAAATTTTCTGTGAAGAGGAAAAAAACTTAAATTATAAACGCCACCCAAGTATGTGGGGCTGTGAAACTTCTTTTTCATTTTCCTGAAACATTTTTCCCATAAACAGCATTGGGATTTTTTAAATTTTCTTTTTTACAGTTTTGGATAGATATCATTCTTTATGGGTATTTATTTCCTTCTTCATGCCAATTCTACATAAAACACAAAAGAGCAAACATGGGTTTCATGCAAAAGCCAGCATGAAGTCTTGTTTCAGGCTTTCCTGAGTATCTTGAAGACAGAATTGAGTATGATTCAGGCTCCACAGGAAGAGAACCACATGTGTCAGGGTGCTATACTCTCCATTACAGCAAGATCCTTATGTCAGTGCTGACACTGCATGGCAGGAGCCCTGAAGGAGATCTGGCTCAGCTGAAATCACTGACAATTGCCACAGGAGTTAAAGAATGCAAATGTGGTCAACGGTGCTGTGGTAGCCTGTTGGCTCTGGAGAGGACAGTGGAGGGCAGCTGTAGGTGGGGTATAACTCCTTGAGAAAAACAGGGTATTTCCCCTAGTTGCCTCCAAGTTCCTAAATCATGTGTGTGATCTGAAATTGTGTATCAGATTAATAAACTGGGGGAGATCTAGGTAGGCTGAAGACAAGGCTGCTGGGCAGCAGCAGCACAGGAGCATCATTTCAGGAGCAAACTTTGCACCAGGGGAGAGCCCATTTGTGGGGGACACACCTGTGCAAGGAGATCCTCTGCCAGGGGCACCCAGCCTCTGGGAAAGTCAGGGTCTCTTTCTTCCCCACCATGACCCTCCAGTCCCAATGCACCTGCATATGAGGCTGTGGATCCTGTCAAGGACATGGCACCACAGAGCAAGGAAAGTCCTGCTGGATCTGCCCACAAAAGCATTCCAGCCCAGCATTGCATCCAAGAACAATGAAAAGGGAGTCAAAGGTGTAAATTTGTTCTAATGTGGGTAGGGAGAACAAATACTCGTATTTTCCACCTCTCGGGAAATCAGCACCTATTTTAAAATCAGGTTACTATAACTCAGAACCAGACTGCAATTTTGTGTTTGCAGCAGCCTTTTTGGAGCAGAGCTGGAGCAATGGGCAGCTGGTGCTGTTCTCTCTCCTTCCTGTGGAATATCTGTAGTCTCCTCCTGAAGTGATGACCTGTAAATTCACAAGTCCAGCTAGACAGATGCAGCAGAAGCCCCCTCTGCCATACCCTGACCCAGATGAAATCTGAAATCCTTGTATTAGCTACTTAGGTACTGCAGTGATAGGCACAATGTGGATTAGATTTGAATACTGTGGAGAAGATTTTTCACTAGAAAATCCCCTGAGAGCTCTCTCAAAGTAGCATTAAATTCAGGTCCATTGCAGCAGTAAACCACAAGTTGGAAAAATGTGTCAGCGTATCTTTAGGTTTTATGGTATATTATGATTTATAATGCATCTACTCCTAAGGGGATAGTATGAATTTTGTGGGAAAAAATTTGTGCTTAAATATAACTCAGTCTATATGCATATTTTTTTCTCTAGAACTGTTGGATGATTGAAAAAAGCCTTCAAAAACTACCAAATAAAAATGTCAGTCTTTTCCTTAAAAGGATTTTTTTTATGAACCAATAGTTTTATTTTTAGCTTCAGTTATTTATCTTTTCTGCCACATCACCAATGTTAATTAACCTCATTTGTGTAAACTAATGTAGAATGCAATAATTTGGAATGAATTTGGGAGTAAATATGTGGCAAAACGGTTAACTAATGTTTTATAAATCAAGCTAATGGCTTAAAAATGTTATACAAGTTTAATTCCCAATTTATCTTCACTATAATTCTTCTAATCACTCACTTTACAATGAAATGTCACATTAATGCCATTTCAGCTACTGTGGTGCTTTAACTTGTGTGTATATGTTCCTTTTCAAATTCTGGAAACTAAAATGTGCTATTGTATTTGCTTAATACAGCCTTGATTAACATAATGTTTTATATCAAAACATTTCTCCACAAGCTGTCCTGAAATTTTAGTCCATTCTTTTTTTATTAATATTTTCCTTTGTCTGAAGAAGTGTCACTGCATTACAAGAATGCATATTGAGATACAATCAATATTAGGGATTTAGAAGTGTGCTCCCTTCACACACTGGCTGTTTTAAACTATATGTAGTTGATATATTTAAGAGAGGAGAAAGCAAAAACAAGAAAACCATGGAAATGCTTGGTGGACAGAAAGCCATGACCATCTATTCAATGTAATTCTCATGAGTAACAATGGCAATCTGGAGACCCATTCTTATTACACATGCTTAACATTCACAATTCCACTGGGATCAGTGGAAGTGAAGGGTCACCTGCCTACTCTTAGGGTATTATATTTTTGAGTCCTTGAAGGCAACTGAATGGGAATTTACTATTTTACTCGTTGTTTACAAGCTTTACACTATATTCAATATACTTGATTTCGTATTTTAATTGTATAAAATTTGTTTTTTTAAGTAGTAGTATGCAGATCATCAGAAATAAATTTACTGCTACCACTAAGTGCCTTTAGAAGTCATTAAAGCAGTTTTCTTTTCTTTTGCCTTCAGCATCAAATGTTTTATATAGCTAATACAACACCCAACTGGAAAAAGTTATATAAGATTCACCCATTCTATAAGGACCATGCAATGCCACTGAATTCAATAATTCCTTATTGCATTCATGGATTTCATTGAATCAAGGAATGCATTACCAACTTTTAAATGCATATTTAATAAACATGAATAAAATTGTCAACATTTTAAAAATGAGTAGTTTTTGAATTTAAAAAGCTATGGTGATAAACTCTGGATGACAAGCTCACCCAAATAAATCAAGCAGACAATCAAGTGACCGTTCAAATATTTTGTTTAAAGTGTACTTATTCTGACACACAGTTAATCTAAAAATCATTTTTGCAATTATAAAGTTGTACCTTGCTCTGAAGGTGCATTAATTCTTTCGCAAATACACTGTCAATTGTAGCTGGCATCTGCTGATAGAGAGAGTTGGAAAGGTCTTTCTTAGCAGCTCCTTTATATTTCACCTAGAGGGCAGAAAAAGGTGACATAAAATGCAAAAATGAAGATACAGTAAACATACTACTTATTTTTTCTAGTAAATAAAATGGCATAGACCAGAACTGGAAACATTTCATTAACTGTCACTCGCTTTCTAGGAAAAACAACTTTAAATTATACTTTATGGGGATGTGCCTAATTCACAAAGCAATGTAAAATATCTACTAATTACATTCAATAATTTTGGTGGAAATAGAAAACAAAATAAGTAAGGCTGTTTCTTCTATCCTTTCTCAGATCATTTTCAAATCCAAAAATTACTTTTCCTATTTCTCTTTTCCAGAGTCCTGAACAATGGGAGCAAATGAGAGGTGGCCCATAAATATTTTACCAACTAGTAAGTACCAGCAATTAAATGTAGCAAGCAAGGGGAGGAACACTGAAGTTTGCCTGCCTGCCATCATTTCTGTTTCATCTGTTCCTATTCCAGTCTCATTTTTAAATTACGTTTTATTTATCCTGTGTTTACTCCAGTATTCAGTATTGGCAGCACAAAGGGGTTTTACAGGAGATACCAGAACAATAGCTCAAAATGTACGAGGCTTTTGCTTCAGATCTAAGTCTTCCAAGTTCATAAAACAATAATGGCAACACTGCTGTGAAAGTAATCATAAATACCAAAAATATTTTCAATTATACTGTCTAATGTCACTTAATTACTGTGAAATATACAGTTCTTAATTAGAGACTAATTCCCCAAATACATTATAAGTATACATATCAATAATTTGCTGTAACATTTGTTGCTGTTCCACAAAACAGAGGACTCTTTTTCACTGAAGTGGATGTGCTGTTAAGAATGTTAGTGCCCAAGATTTGCACATACAGGTGATGGGACACTAGAGGTCAGTAATTTACAAGATAAACCATCCATCACATCATTGGCTTCAGGTAATGCTGCAATAAACAGACAGAGTGCTCAAAAGTGTGGTAATATCAAACCTACATGGTTTAAAATTTTAGAATATTTTTATATCTCTAAATCTCTGATTAATAATTAGCAGCAGATTCTCTGGAATCAGAGAGAGTAGATAAATACTCTCTATATACTGTATTTCTGTAGACTACAATAGTCTGTCTCTTATATAGTGCAATTACATGAGATTTACTTCCCTTGGGACATGCCACTCCTTCCCAGAAAACAGGAAGATAAATACAAGAAAAGCATACATTAGATGCATTTATATTGAAAGCTACAGAGCAAATTGCTGTATATAATAAAGAGAATTTAGAACGTATATAAATTATGGAACCTCAAAACCTCAGCAAACTGGGACTTCTTTATTATAATCATAAAAGTGGCACAAAAAATGAGACACCAAAATTTTAATTTTTTGAAGGGCCACAGTGACAGAAAAGTCACTCAGAACCAGCGATTCCTAAATAAAGGTGAAACTCCTCTCTGGTGAAACTTCTGCTGCTGCTCTTACCTGTGGAAAATAATCAGAGATGCAATCCTACAGCACCTTGTACCTGGGACATGAAGAGCTGGCAGTAAATGCTGCTCTGACACTTTGGAAGCCGTTGATCTTTCTTTGCCACCACAGTTGTGCGTGTGTGCACATGTCACAGGTATGCAGAGATAGATAGATAGATAGATAGATAGATAGATAGATAGATAGATAGATAGACAGACAGACAGACAGACATACAAGTGCACTGATGGCACTGACCTGTCTGCCCCAGCCCTCTTGCTGAAGGAGGACAGGGATGATAGCATGGAAACATTTTCCTTGTCTCCTCCTGTTTGATATCAGGCTGTGAAATCTCCACAGCAGGGAAATTTTGCACAGGTGTAATTTGCAAACCTCATCACTGCAGAAAAAGTACTTTCTTTTCCTGTTCCTCAGTTTATCCAAACATAAAATGGGATAGCTATGACTTGCTCAGAACCATTAATAAAGTATCTTCAAATCCCAAAATAAGTGTCATGTAATTCCAAATTATTATTATTATTCACATTGCAGCACACATTAATTACAGCCTTTGAATTCACTTCAGCCTTAAACAGAATTATTTGAAATAAGCCATCCTTCCCCTGCTAAAAATCACAGTACTCAATTGAAAGAGTTTTTAGGAAGGATAAGAAGCCAAGAAAATTTTTCAGTCTTTTAGATCTTACCTCAGAAATAAAAGCACCAAGGCTTTTCACATGTTTTAGCTGCGGGGTGTCAGGTACAAATATGCACTTGCCTTTAGATTTTTTAAACTCTTCTTTATAGTGTATCTACAAAGAGAAGAAAAAGAAGTTTAATTGTTCTTAAAAACACACACACATGAAAGCAAACATGGGTTATTTTTGTTTATTTTTTATTATTTCTATTTTATTTTATTCATGGATACTGTGCTGGGCAGCTTGCAAATAGCTCCGGCTGGATCAAATTAAACCATAAAGAGAAGCTACGAGTTCTCACGCACATTACCAGGGCTATGTAAAAGTCACAGAACTCTTTAATAATATAGATGAAAAAGACAGGATTTTTCTCTACATCTAGAGCACATTTTCATGACTGTTGTAGATGTTTCAGTATCTCTAAAGAAAGACGAATGGAATAATTGATCTCCTTGATCCTTGATCTCAAAGATAAAAATTGTTTAACTTCTAACACAGACCTAGCAAGCACAGAATCTGTATATCATCAAATGCCCCTTTATGAATCCAAGAGTTATACGAATAAATTCAGGAGGCCACTGCCAAACCATTGCCTACAAAGCACCCAACTCTCATGGCATTCAAGTAATTACAGAATTTCTTTAAGACCAACCAAAGTTTAAATTGAGGCATTCTTTAAAATGTGTATGCACATAGGAAACCATGGAAAATTTTAAAAAAATAACACTATATTTGGCAAAAAAAAAAATTTTTTTTAAGCAACCAACCTTTTTCTTACAATGGGACACACAGTATGGGCAGGTATAATAATCATATGAGTGTTGCTGAAGTCAGAGTTATTGTTTGTATTAGTGAGACTGCAAGAAGGATAAAATCTATGGACATGGTTAACGTGTAGGAACTTTCATCATATACGAACTGCATGAAGAAAGATGGTGAATTATGATGAGATGGACTAAGTAAGTTTTAACAACAGACACTTTACATGGATAGCCTTAGATGCTTTCCGTGACATTTCTTTCTTTGTAAAGAGAATTGTTTCAATCAATGCAAATTGAATTATTTAGTACTAAGCTTTCATGGTTATTATCTGCAACCATTTCTCTAACCTCATTTTCACATTCTGCCTAACAGCAGCTCGAATTTATGTACTCTAGACTTGCTGACAAGCACTGACAGAAGCAATATGATCTGCATCTGAGCATTACAGAAATATGCAGCCTTAATATCCTCTTTCTCTGAATCCTTAATGGATATCACAAGTTCTAGTGTACGCTCCTCTACAGGGACTTGGAAAACTTACGAGAAGGATGGCAGCTTACACAGAATCAGCTCCTGTGCTTTCTAAGGCAAAGTTTGTGTCTACTGAAAAATGGATTACATAATGCCAAATTCATCTCAAATTCATGACTACTTTATACTCACACAGGAACCAATTTTGCTTGATATTGACCTCATTCAGATTTGGACTACTGAAAGAATCTACACATCACTTCCAAATCACATTGTCTGCTTTTGTGGATTACAGTCTCTTCTCAAAGAAAACCTTTTGGTGAACAATGGGCAACAGTACTGTGTCATGACTTTACTCACAAAGCCAGTGGTTCATGTAACCTGTGTGTGACATCATACACATAGGTAACCACAGAGCAACACACAAAAAAGACACATTTATGATAAATATGAGCAGGCACTTACTGTCCAACCTGCACACATGCATGGAAATTTACAGAGCTGACTGTCTACTGGGTGAGTTTGATGGTATTCCCAGTAGAAATTCCTGTAAAGCTGTGACTCTGGCAGAGGATACAGTCTTTTTGCTAGTAACTTAGATAAATCATCCACAGATATCTGAAAGCTGACTGTAATTATATCCATTTTAATTGCAGAGCAATAATTACATTCAAGAATCAAACACGAAAGCTTCCTAAGGTATCTCTTAATTGGGGGAAATGACAGAACATAACTAGGAGAAACAAAGCTGTTTTGCTGTAGAAGTCATGCTTTCAAAAGAATTGAAAGCAGTAAATGACTAATGCCACCTCCTTAATCCTTTATTATTCACATTTGTTATAGTAACCCATAGAAGCCACAAAATGCATACAGACTCAAATATGCAATTTAGAGAGAACATATAATAAAATGTTTGGTCAAATTCTGATCCAACAAACTCCATTCTGCTACAGTATTGTCTACATTGTTTGGAATCAGAAAGATGGAAGATGAAATGGGACAAGTATAATGAAGTCATGACATCTGCAGTTATAAAACATATTTAGTGTAAACGATGCAAGGAAGATGTTCAAGAGCTTGCCTACGATTCAAACATAACCAATGAATGGAATGAACAGGCAGAGAAGCTAATATTCCTCTTCAAAGTCAGTAATTACAAATTCAGATGTCTTAAATATTGAATAGGAAATTTTGCCTGCAAGTGGCTTACCCCTCACCACAAAATATGCTGTTTATGTTGAGCAGATCTGGTAAGCCTTGTGAAAAAAAACAAATAGGAAGAATTTGCAAATGATGGCCTGGAGCCACGGCTCTTTCAATATACTTCGGAAGTTCAATAGCTCACTAAAGGCCCAATTTTTCATAGTTCTCTCCAGACCCTTTTCTTCTCCCTGACTCATCATAAAACTTCTGACCGCGGCACAACTACCCAGTAAAGTGGATTAAAATTCCTAGACAACCACCAAAACATTAAGTTTCAAGCTACATTTTTTTTCTTAATGGTTATTATATGGGAAGATCAACTTTATAAAACAAGGGCATCCAACCTTTAAGCCAAAGTTTCCTGGTTCACCAAGAAAATTCATCTCACCCATGGGCTGTTCCACCAGCTTTTTTCAGGATGAGAAACAGAAGGGAGACTGTGAGCTAAAGGAAAGACTCCAATGGTAACAGCATAATCCAAGCAGCCTCCATTCCTTTTATTCAGGGACACATGCTCATCTAACTTTAATAGAATATATACACAAAAGCTACTTTTAATAATCTTAACATCAATGGTGTAACCATGTCAAGAGTCATCCTGCCAAGATCCACTGTAGAACTGTCATATCTAAAACACCCATTTTTCTTTAGAAAAACAATAAAAATGTCTGAACCTTCTTATCTAGCTTTTATGCTAGAACAAAAGGAAACTTCCTTCCACTAAGTATTCACTTTCCAAACCTACATTTCTGAACTTATAATCTCTTATAAGACTAAGGACTGTCTCAGACCACAGATTCATCTAATACAGAACCCTTTCTCTGTGGCCATAGGAACCTAGAGTAAAGCATGAGAAAATGGCAGGCATACAGTATTACTATTAAAATACATAGTGTTTTAGTAATCTCCCACAGTTTCAAACTCAAGATCGTCTTGATTTAGAGGCTGTGAGTCCAGGTGAACGGCTGCACCCAGAATTAGGTAGTCAAAACCCTGTTAGTTTGGCACAGTGTTTCCACTATTGGCTCTAGGTCTTGTTGGACTTTGCTTTACAACAGAGACATCCTAAACCTAAGCTGGACTCTGTGCAAGGACAGATAAATAGCAAGCAGTCCTATTTTTTGCTTTAGAGGAAAACAAGTGCTGGTACCACTCACCACCACAATTCAGCAGAATCTTCAGAAGGTGGTGTCTGCCATTCCATAAAGGATTATAATAGTTTGGTCAATTACCTTCTGTAATTGTTCCCATCTCTGCTTATAACAATACTGACAACATCCCACCACATAATCAAAACAAAGAAGAGATGAAAATACACTACAAGCAAATGGACGAGCTCGATTTCAATGTGGAAGAGAAAAGGCCTGGAGAGGAAGGCAATTCATATAAATCAAACACACATGACAGTTTTGAAAACATCTGTGGAATAAAATTTCATAATAAGGGAGATTAAATGGAACGACTGTCGAGAGAAACAATCCAGGGGGTATCACAGCCACAGAACAAACATCTGCCAACCTCAAATGAAATTGGGGATTTTCTCAAGAACGGGAGCAAATAAACACTTCACAGCTTCCCCTATGTACAGCTCAAGGCTGGCAATTAGAGATTCACCAAGGACTGCCAGTGTAACACTTTTTCAAAACCATATTGCCAAATTAAAGTCAGCCTGCAAAGAATGCAGGGCAAGCATAATACAAGCCCAGTATCTCAGGCATGTGCACTCCTGGCTCTGCATTCTGATGGACGAGATGTGCTGACAGCTCCACCATCAGAAAAGGACAATCACCCAGTCTCGTGGCCAGCAAGGACACAGGCTGCTCCCCCAAGGTCATCTAAAGAGCCAAACCAAAAGCGCCATAAAACCACTGTACAAATAAAATGTACATATCTACACCAGTCATAAATCCACACAAATAGTAGTACGTGGAAAGGTTCATGCTAAAAAGAATAAGGAATATATTAAAAGTTCTGAATGTCAGCAAGCAAAAAAATTGAAGGTAAGAATGCAAACTCTTTGCAATTTATTAGTCTCCACAACGAAGTGTGCAGGGTGAAGAATTTATACCCAGATACAAAGGACTTCACTGGTCATGAGAAATTCCAATATAGCAAAAATTCTGGGAAACAAAATTCATATTCTATGCATATTCCATTCAAGCCAATGAAGAAAAACCTACTGATTTCATCAGAGGCTGAATAAAGGCCCAAAGCTGGATGTTATTTTTAAACAAAGAGCCTCTTTTTTGAAATTAGACTGGTCTGGACCATTATATATTGTTCTTGCTTTGAAAGCATTAATAACACTTTGCCATTATGCCTGACATATCTCAAGGAAAATCTAACACACTTGCAGGCTAAATGCATCACAAGTTTTCAGCAAAAGCCCACATCCCTGAACCATTATAAGCAGGAGAAGCCTGGCTTGACTTAGCTATTCACCTTAGCTCTCAAGTCCCTGCAGAAAGTCCAAGAAAATACAGCCACTCAATTTATCCATTAATTAAGAGCCACAGCCAACATTACTCCTAATGGGTACACGGCAGAGTAATAATTCCTTTTCAGTTAAAGAAAGATTTCTTCAGCATTTTTCAAGGAGTTTTTTTCTTTAAGAACAGTGACCATGTTTAGAAAGAAGCTGCATGGATGCAATAAATGTATATTGGGTCATATAAGTGCTTCAGGTCCATTTTCATTTTTGCCTTTACAAGAGTTGACAGGCACTTAACACACCATATGCCCTTTTTCCCAAAGAAAGCATGTATATATCTATCAGTAAAAATATTATTAATCTCTACTGCTTCCTAAAGTAGGTTGAGTTTACAAAGGAGTCATCTTGGTAGCTTCTCTTAAGGATCTATCCAATTTTCAGCACTCTTTCTGTGAAAACTGAAGTAGGAAATGTATGGACAAGAGGAAAGAGGAAACTTTGACCTTGTCAAGTCACACTTTCAAGCCAGCACTGTAACACATCCCACACATGTGTAACTTCTCACATCCCAGATACTGCTCTTCTGAGTTAACTCTTCTTTTCTGACACACAACCCCTAAACATTTATACCTAAAATGTAGATTCTGTATGTTCTATTCCCATTAGATTAACAACCCGAACCTAAATATCATATTACAGCAAAAGTCAGATGCCATTTTTTCATTTCTTTAGAACATTTGTTGAAGTAAGTCACTCTCTCCTCAGGAAGGTCTCCTCTCCTGTCACAGCTTTCTCACAGGAGAAATATCCTTCTCTACACCCATGTGGTGTAAAGAGTGCCCCCATGAAAGGACAAAGTTACTTTTTTCAACACACTGTCCCAGAGAGAAACAGAAAAAAAAAGGTAAATCCGATCCTGTTACATTGAAGCAATCAGATCTACTCCAATTTAAAATGTCTGGGATCTGATTTATGATGTTTATATAATGTTTATATAACTGATCCACAGTTTTAAAAAGCTATAGTAACTAAATCAAGAATTAGAGAGCTAAATATTTTTAAAAGATATTCTAGTATTTGAGTGGATTTGTCCTATAAGCATAGTCAATAACAATATGCTGAGCAGTCTTGGACATCTATCAGCACAAACAAAAGATAACATTAGAAATTTATATTTTCTTTTTAACTTCCCTCCTTACAGCTATGTATACTGGAACCCAGTTTTCTTCAAACCAATTAAATTGCATAGAATACAACCAGAAAAAATACCACTTTTTCCTGATGAAAGCAGCCAAGGAGTACTCCTGGCAGCACCCTCTGCCTGAGACCCACATTTTGAAACACAACTTTCTAGGGCCTGTGCTTCGTATCATCCAAGTGCTCTGAAAAGTTCATTCTTCTGTGGATGATAATTTATGGTACCAGAGTAATCTGTGCTTTTCTATTATTTTGTGGGCCTTTATTATTTGAGCCTTGGATGGGCACACACTACACTGTACACATTTGAGAAAATATGTATCATAAATATAAATGCATTTGAAAGAAGAAATGCAAATATGAGAGTGCAAATAGCCACCATCACTTACATCACTTATTAATTCACTGCATTTTCGGGCCAGTTCCATATTTCTGTCCTCAATAACAGGCTTGAGGAAGATCTGAAAGAGAAAGGTAATCATTACAGATTTATTGTCCTAAAGAGGAAAAAGCAGAAGGAAATAAGTACTTTGCAAAACTATTGGGCTTTAACTCACCTTTTCTTCTTCTTCTTCCCAATCCTCATTTTCATCCTCCCTGAGATCCTGAATGGCAGACACTCGCATTTTAATACTTTGTGGGAAACAATGAAAACTCTTAAAAGGTTCAGTGCTGCAGGAAACAGCTCAGACCCTCCAGCATGCCTGGAATCAATGCTCCATTTGTGTCCTCCACTGCACTTAACGCTACCACAGCTCCTTCCTTATTTAGGCAGCACTTGACAGTCTTTATCTGAACAATTCAGAGTGAGTGAACTGAAAGGCATTGCAGATGGCCTTGCTGGCTATCACTCACAGCAGAACTAATGCTTTCTTACTGATAAAATATAATTAAATGACCTATCCCCAGCAACTATTTTTAAAATTACTACAAACACAATTCAAACACTGTGATGCAGTTAATTTGTAATGTATGCAATTTAGTAAAATTAACAGGATTAAAAGGGGAACATTGACTTTAACTTTATGGGAAAACTGCCCAATTGTAAGATTCAAGGCATCAGTGACTCTAAAATCAGCTATGACAAAATTTTATTTTACTGTCCGAATAATAAGGCTTCTTGTTCAAAAAAGCACACTATTCTCATCTTCCAGTAAATGTAACACGAGAAGATTTTTTTCAGAATTACTTCTTTTCCACAAAGCTTATAGAATTCCTTAAAAGCTTTCCATAATCATGTCAGCTGCAGGTTAAACCCATGCACGCATAGATACAGACAAGTCTGTACTACAAGTATACACAGCTAAATATTCACACAAACAGTATGTTCCTTCACTGTTAGAAACTGTCATGGTCTGTAGTCAAACAACCAACCTTTTTCACTATGAAGTCACTGACTCCAGCTGCAATGAAACTGAAAGATATCCTGATGTTCATGGGTGCAGTGTCAGTGTTTACTTCTGTAAAACAAGCAAGAAGGTATTACAAGACCGGTTGGAGAAACCAGCATTTTAGTATCACTTTTCTTTTTAAACTGAAGCTTGTATATTTCTCATTCTGTAGAGGTTTGAAGTTCATCTAGCAAAGTCATTCACCACTGCACAGCTTTGCAATCAGGCAAAGAGACAAGGAATGAGTGCTCTTAAAAACAACTCTTTAAAGAATTTTAAGTACGTGTGCCCAACACAATGTCCAGAGTCTATTTAAAAACACACACTTCCTTAGAAAAAGAAACATTTCAAAGATGAGAAAAAATACAGCATTTGATTTAGTTAAGGTCTAAAAATTTGAAAAATTAAGTATTAAGAACAAAGGCAAGAACTGCTTTCAGCCTAAACCAAGAGAGAGAACTCTTTATACATTAATAGTACAGCAGCTTCAAGTCTTTCCATTCCACTCTCAAATAGAAGTTCCTAAATTTCAGGTTTGAACTTTCAGCATTGCTAAAGTTCCAATTAAAACCTAGAACTCTAGGTTGCATAGGTGAGAATTACCTGTGATATATGCTGACTGCTTTTGGAGTCCAGGATCCTTCAACCTGGTGAAAACAAATGGTTCAGTCTTATGAGTATTCACAGTAACAGGTCTTTTTTGAAGATAATGACTACAGCAAATACATTGCACAACAGACATGTACAATGTCATGTCTGCAGCAAATACATCTGTACAACAGACTCATGCATGATTTTAAGGACCACACGGTAAGGAGACAGAGTACCTACAAAAGTGTCAAGACAGAAGTGCAGCACTAAAGCTTCACTTTGGGATTCTTGTGATAGTATTGCCACTACTATATGCTTTCAGTGCAGTTAACTTACTTTTCCTCCCTATAATTACTAATTTTTTTTAAGTGGAGACATTGAAAAATATTTAAGAGCACATGGAAATTATTTGTAGCTGCAAAGCTTGTTGAACATAGGGAAATCTTTTGCTATTTTTTGCACTGGAAAGCAAATATGGCCAAAATTACAACAAAATGCTTTGCGTTTTGGGGCAAAAGGGAAGTGTGTGGCTTTGTAACATGCTTTTAACATTATATCTGGTGGGTTTTCAGCAGCTGGACAGACCAAAACGTATCTATTAATTCTGGTTTTCCTGCAATAGCTTCTGCATAATCAAAATCTGCAAGATTGCATTTGGTCAGCTGTGAAGTGATCAGGCAGTTGGACTACACACTCACTGGAAGTCCCTTCCAACAGAACTATTCTATTCTATTCCATTCTCTTTTTTATCCTACTATCTGTAACAGCTTTGATACAATTAATTTTTTCTCATTTTTTGCATGATCTGGGTCAGGCATAACTAAGCATTCAAATACCCTGTGCCCCATGTAGCTTCCATAATACAAGCATTAGGCAGCTGCTATAACTCATCAGCTTATATTAAAGAAAAATATAAAACTATGCACAAAGGGAGTAAGGGAAAAAAATCACAACTAACCATACACAAGTTATTTAAAATTCAACTTTTCGCATAACAGAGACAGCAAGATACTATATGACATAGAAACCTGTTTCAGTTTTTTTCACTCTTGTCAAAACACTGAATATTATAAGAAAACATTCACTGTGCAATAAAGCAAGCCTGAAAATGTAATATATCCAGATATAATTCAGGGAAGAATTTGTTAGGACCATTTAAGAGTTGCATGGTTTAGAAGTGCACTGTTATTCAGTTAGCAGCCTGCAAGTCAAGAAGAATCATAGAAAGGTTTGGGAGGGAAGGGCCTTTAAAGATAATCCAGTTCCAACCCCCCTGCCATGGGCAACGGTGCCACCCACTAGATCAGACTGCTCAGAGCCCCATCCAACCTAGCCTTGTTTCCCAGGCATGGGAAAGAAGCTTTAGCTACTTCTATAGGAAGCAATAAATAATCTAGAATCAGTAGGAATGTTTGGCACGGCAAATGTACATGTACGTTTCCAATATTTCTAAAATTACTATAAAAATACTAAATCTAATCGGAATAAAGACCTAGTTAAAATGCTGAGCTTTTACATCCCCAAAACAATTATGAACTATGTTGTAGTATAGATTACTTTTCGCCTACAAAATCTGCAATTTTACCAAAATCTACAAACTGACACTTCTGAATAATTTTCTGCTATATATAATGTAATGATCCATAATCTTTTATTGTGGCATGAAACCACAGATTAAGCAAAATACAATTGTATTTTTAAGAAACATTGTAATGGAGTGCTAAGCTGTGTATCCACAATACTTACATGCTCTCAGGGCATGGCAAAATTAGAATTTCTTACTGTTTTAGAGATACCTTAAAATGTGTACAAATGGGTTCTACAGGGAAGCATCCAACATGAATTAATTCAAATTTTGTATGAAAATGCTGCGTAGCTCCACATTTCTACTTCCACACACCTGCAAGGACATTTCATACAATGTTTACAGAAGCACTGTTCCTGCAATACACAACCTTTGCTTATGTTACGAAAGGAGATATTTTGGTCTCCCAGCACTTAGAGCCATCATTCCATGTGTCAGTGTACTATTTCTTGTCACAGAACATCACTCAAGTACTTGATGTAAACACATATCTGCTGAGGAGGCAGAAGAGGAAGAAACATGGGGCGTAAATGAGCCCAGATCCTCCTGAGTGTGAGCTGGCCCAGAGTGTGAATAGCTCAGGTACACAGCTGGGCAGATTTCCCACTTTGATCACACATAGCTGAGTCCACATCTGGCCAGAGCCCCACCATCTTCCTGTCCCTTTATCAGTCTTTCAAGAAATACATTTGGGACTTCTTAGCCCAGAAAGTTAAAAGGCTTCATCTCGTTTTGGCCCTGATACACATGACAACTTAGCAGCGATTCTCAGTTGTGTCCCTGAACAAACAATACCTCTGGACTTCTCTGGCATAATCCTTAAAAGCCTTCTGATATACTCAATATCTTATGCACTGCTGGGCTGAAAGGACTAGTCTATCACTTCACAGAACAGCAGAACTTCTGTTTGTCATGGTAAAGATACCAGAAACCTCACAAAGTCAAACCTTTTTAATGCAGAGTTCCTCATGGAGTACTCGAACACAGGCTGCAAACTAAAGACCTATTTCAGTTGGAAATCTGCACAGCACTATACTGAGATGTATATACATTATGAATATACTCCTTTCAATTCTGGACTGAAAACCTAACAAAAAAAGAGGTCAAGGTCGTGCTTTAGCTATCCTGTTTCCAGTCAGTTAAAAATCAACCCACAGACATCCCTGAAATTAAAATGTTATTTTCTGTTCTTACTGGACACATGCAGACATCACCGAAATAACTACAATTAATTCAACACAACACAGATGGTGGTGTCTTTTCAAAAATCACACAAGGCATTTTTAAGTGCTGAGACTCAAACACTTCTCATTTCTAGAAATACTCAGACTAGAAGTTCCTAGCAGCCCTGCATAAGGAAGTTCATAGTTAGTCTATCAGCACCACAATCACAAACAAAAAAATGCAAGGAATCCCAGCCTGCCAGTTTTTACCTCCCTGAACATGAAATACCAATTCACATTAACTAGAGATATTAAAGAGATGACTCTATTTAGAGAAAAACCTTACCCACGAGTTTGTATCTGTCAGATCATTAACACTGCACTCATCATCAGCACTTCAGAACCTGCAAATACCTCATAGCTCTAAGCTAGGATTTTCATTCAATATAAGTTATTTTATTCAATGTTTTGGTAAAGCAGAGAGTGGCAATGATGTTTTTAAGGACAAATACAAACGAGATGTTAGAATTCTGAATTCTGAATCCCAGAAAACCTTATGAATTTTCAAAGTCTAACAGATACAGAAACAGACATTTTTTGTAAACTCACACTTTCAAACCTTGCCTAGCCTAACTGGATTTTGATGGCAAAGCATTTCAGATGTTTGTATGGTACATAACTAGTTTCACATAATAATACCCAATCTAATCTAGATACCAGAAGCTGTGTAACCTGAGTTAATAAACTCTTTCCCACACAACTCATTATCCTGAGGAATGAACTCATTCAGAAGGAAGAGTACGTATCAGGGCACAGGATTGTGCCATGCAGATATAGCCTTACCTATGATAAGGAACAATACATTAAAATAAATCAAATAAGCCATTAAAACTAACCCCAAAACATCCATTTCATTTTTTCTACCAATATTTGTAATTGCCTGCTGTGTTTACACAATACTTTTTAAGCCTGAATACAGTATTTTCTAGTTGGGATACACAGTTCTATCTATATTTTCCTAGTTTTTCATTTTTCAAGAAATTAAATCCTCAACAATGAAGAAATCTGGTATTTCCACTCCCTCAATATTTTCAGTTTAACCAGAAGCCTGAAAATCTATCCCTCTTACAGCTCCTTTTGCAAGCTGATGGATCAGGAGCTGAGATGCCACATTTGACTGCACTGCAACTGTTTAATCCACTCCACCCGCCTGCGGTGGCATTTCCCTTCCTTGTCATAAAGCCCCTGTCCCCTTCCTCAAGTGTTCACCTAGCTATGGTCCACCATAGATACCAGCTCTGGGGCATAACAGATGAGCTCCTCAGCACTCCCAACTCCATTACTATGTTACAACAACAAACAGTCAGGATATTTTTTCCCTATTAGCTACAGAACGCAGAGCCCCAATGCTCCCGTGTGCGGGATGGCCAAGAGCCAACAGCTGGTGCCCTGTGACCAGTGGGGGGCAATACACACCCCAGCTTTCTTCCCTCAGATTTTCTAAGGCTGTTCTACAGATGATGGCTACAAAACAATTTTTTTTTTTTGTTCTGTGTGCCATGAGAGGTGTCTGTAAAAGCAAAATCACATTCAGCAGAAGAGGGAGTTACAGCTTTTCTCTTAATGCTGGAAATTTGGATAAAAGATCAAAGTTCTCCATTCACAAAATGTCCATTTTATTCAAAACTAAATCCTTTGAAAGAAAGATACAGGAATATATAGTTTGGAAATTCTATTTTTCTACAAATCCTAGCGAAAATCATTAATTAATGTAGGTGAAAGGTATGAAGCCGGTAATAAACAAGTTCCATTTTGCCTCAATAAATCCTAAAAACCTAAGCAAATCTCCTCCTATGACTATACATTCATATACAGCTTACTGTAAACTGAAATAATAGAAAATATGCATTTATCTTATACACAGATTCTTAGTTCTTAGTCACATAGACTGGGCATGTTTGCTTGCCAGGATTTTTTCTTGTGGCATTACACTGAATTCAACTGCATGAACTGACAGAATCTCCTGGAGCAGAAAGTGAAAAGTACACATTTCCCATAAATTTAATTTTCAACCTATAACCCTCACTTACTTAATGAATGCATTTTTCTAGAAACTAAAGCCACAGTGTTACTTGTAATTGAGTTTTTTCTTCTTCATATTTCTGTACTTGTATTTTACTAGTCCTGATACTGTAGTTCTCTGAACAGAAGAATACCAACATAGTAAGATACATATTTAAAAAACCTTTACAACTTTAAAGTTCTTGAATACTTCATGTTACTGTGATTCTCAGATAAGTTAAATTTG